GGGGGGGGGAAGGGAGGGGAAAGGGAGTTCTTATTTTTTTTCTTTTTTTTTCTTTTTGCTTTCGTGTGGCGGATCGGATCAGGGAGAGGGCTTTTTTCTGCTCTTTTCTCCCTTTTGCACCTGATTTTCTTTTGGAGGGGAAAACGAAGTTGAGGGGAAAGCAAGCCTGCGTGGGAGGTGAGGGGTTGGGGGAGCTCTTTTCCTTTTCTTTCTTTCTCCCCTTCTTCTGGATGGTCGGGTCTGGGTGTACATTTTTTTTTTCCCATCCCCTTTTCCAATTCTATTGCGATACGCAGGAAATTGACGGAGACGGAAAGTAAGCCCATGGACTGAAAAAGGTTTGGTCGACAAGGGTGGTGGCGTCTCGGGGCGTTGGTGTGCATGCAAGTGGACGGGAGAGCAAGTTGAGAAAAAAAAAAGGTATTGAAGGTGGTGGGGAGTCTGGAATGCAATCAGATTGATAAAATGATGAAACAAAAGCTCTAAGATGGAAATTGAAAGAACCCCTTCAATAATTAGATGTCGGATTTGCCCACCACTCCTACTTTCGTGCGCTAATTAATGCCATCATATCATTATAATATCATGGCTGCCCCCAGAGGTGGGTTTGAATGTGTCAAACGTACAAGGCCTTTGGCTCGCCCGCACTGATTAATAGTGTGGGGTCGTCGTGCCCTTGGCAGTTTCCGACACAAAAGGCATTTCGTACTTGAGTGCGGGCAGATCAAGAATCCTGGAGGATCTTCACTCCCTCCCCATCGAGGGTCTGATATTTAAGGCGTCATTGTCACACACAAAAAACCGTACTTCGATGTTGAGCGATTGACAGTGCGTGTCCATGATTTCTCTCATGAACAACGCCGCGGTTTTCTTTTTTTTCTTTTCCGCTCCCTTTGTCTGACTTTGGTTCTCTTCTTGCTTCTGCTGGCGCCCGTTGCGAGGACTTTCCCTTCCATCACCGTGTTGTGTACAGTAGCGGAACGAATGAGCCGTTGTGGCAGGAGTAATCATCCCGAACGTCCATGCGTCAATTGGTATACCATTCTCTCATGTCTCTCTGGTCCTTGCCACCGCGGTAAGTGGGAAACATCAGCGCGCTTCGGTTCTTCGTCGCACACGCCAGCTGGTTGATGCAGACGTCTCAAGTGGATACGGTACTATGCTCCGCTATGTATGTGTGTGCGTGCATGCATGCACGTAGTACGCCTTTTGCATGACGCGGGTCGGGTTGCCATGGCTTGACGCGGTATCTCGTTCCCCGGTTCTCTATCGCCTGGTGTCCATCCCCGGATCAGTATCGAGGCTGAACTGCGTGGCGTGTGCGTGGAGAGATATCGGGCGGAGTTGTGGGCTTGATCGTGTTTACTCCGCCAGTCGGGTGCTTCGATGCGCCTCCTCCGAAGCTACGTAGAGGACGGACGGATGGGGATTGGGGGGTTTCGATATCTAAAGCGTGGACAGGTGAAATTGCGTCAGCGATCTATCACTTCCTCTTCCGGATGGTAAGTAGTCAAGAGCTATTACAATTCGTCGATGCGTGTTGGCCTTATCATTGTTGAGAGCATGACATGCAGCTCCTATCAGATGTTGAAGCATGTGATCCTCCTCTAGGACGACATGCTACCGTCGGTAGGTAGTTGAGGCAATCGTGCGGGTGTGGATGTGTAATCAAGCAATGTACGAGAGCGTCCAGACGAGAGCTCAACAGCTCAAGTATGTCGCATGCAATTGTTGCAAAATATGACTGGGAAAGATGAGTTGTTCTGTAAGCTATGGAGAGGTAGAGCGAGTATTCCCTTGAGCTCCCGGTCAGTGCTTGATTGACGTCAAGCAACGCCCGTCCACAGCCCAGTCTTGGAATTTCGTGGATCAATAGCGGGCGCCACAAGGCGTATTTCATATTAGACTTCGTCGTACGATATGTTGATGCATGGTAGGTTCCGGGGTGTGTTGGGGTTGTTGAGGCTCGGAAGCGGGCGGGGGGCGTTGTTTCCCCGGACGGGTAAGCAAGCCCATAGGATGCGGCGAAAACGGACATCGGAGTTTTCTGTAGTGGGCGGCGATACTCTGCAGCAACGGTAGGAAGCCAGATCAGGGCAGGTGGCTACCAGAGAGGAAAACGCTGGCTGAGTCGCATTGGAGGATAGCGACCGCGGTGAGGGCTGCTCCAGAAGTTCGTGATCATTAACATTGCTTCGTTGGTTCGTCCGGACGCAAAAAGTCATTGCCACAAGCAGAAGGATGATCTGCAGACGGAGAAATGTGGGGAAGAGGCTCAAGCGATAGGACCGTGGGACGCTGAACTAACCCCTGCGCGCCTTGTATCATGCCGTCGTCATCAGTGGCTGCTCCCATCATCATTGTCCCCACCGTGACCACCCTGTACGAAGGTGCCGCTGGACCTGGCGTCCCAGTCCTGTCCCCGAGACTCCGCTACAAATTCTGCGACAGCCGATAGCACACGAGTTTCCCTTGAGATTTCTCACCTCCCGATGGGCTCGGCGAGGCCGGCAGTGGACGGCATAGCTCAAGGGACGTAAAAGTGTGGACCGTGGATCTGGAACGCGACGGTGGGCTGCAGCTCAGCCTCATGCCCCACCCAATCATCCTCTGGGCAATGGCGCTAAGGACGGACGAGGGCCAAGAACAGTTGAGCGTCGGGGTGGCAAGGGTGGTGCTGACGGCAGCGGGCGCCCCAGCAGAGATTTTTGCACTTCTAGAAGGGCTGACGCTGGTATGATTGGCCTTGTTTCTGGGCGAGAGTAGGCTCGGGTCTGACAGGTTCGTAAGAGAGGCCACGCGCAAACGCCGCTCGTTCTCAGGATCGGGAGGGACGAGCAAGCTTGAGTGGTTGGTGGGTCGGCAAGGCGGGCAGCGCTGAGAGAGGCTAGCCATGTGTTGATGATGCTGGTGCGGGTGTGTGGCTGTCGGCATCAACCCCACAAACGCTAAGCATGCGCTTGCACTGCCAAGCTCCTATCAAGCATGGCGGACTGGCTGGGCAGACGCGCTTCATTCGTCACGGCCACCTCACAGCATCCTGCCATGGGGACCGGACCGACCGTCAGGCCGAGCATTTGGGATGCCTTGTGCTTCTTGCCACGAGTTCCATCCACCCCGTACCACGCGCCTCGTCATCAGCTGTGTGTTCGACCCGGGCTGTCGGCTTCTGCCGGCGACGCTGGTGCAGGGGTTGCGGCTGGCGTTGCATTGGTGTCAGCGGTGGCAGACGCGGCGGGCGTACGGCAGGGTTGGCATTGCTGCGATGGGCTGGGTCCAATGCGCGGCGGCGGGTGCTAGCAGGAGGCGATCTTGGGGAGCGAGCGAACGGGGATCTCGACGCGGCCGGAGGCATGGATGGACGTCGAGGTGCGGCGGTCCAGGCGGGCTGCGATATCGATCGCCTAGCCCTTAGCAGCAGCCCCAAGCTTCCCCGGCAGCGCCTCGCACCTGCCCCATTGGCCCGCCATCCTTCCCCAGACCCCCAGCGCTGGCTGCCCATGTCCGTCCCTACGCCGCATGACAACTCGCCTTGTGGTCTACAAATACGCCGGCAGCCCTCGCTGTGCTCGAGCATCAACGCCTCGTTCTCATCCGAGTCTGCCCGTTTGCTCGACGCAGCAGCTCTCACTTCTTCGCCATCATGCCGTTCCTCATCAAGAAACCCGATGACGCTGTGGGCTCGGCTTTGCCGGCCATCTGCATTGGCGTCTTCGTTGCCTTCGGCGGCGTGCTTTATGGGTATGCTGCCCTCGACTTCCCCCGCTCACACAGCACGGCTCACTGACCATGGCAGATATGACACGGGCACCATCGGCGACATTCTGGGCATGAACTACTGGCAGAACCAATTCTCCACCGGCTTCGTCAACCCCAAGACCAACCACAAGGACGTCACCTCCGACCAGACTTCCGAAATTGTCTCCATTCTCTCGGCTGGAACCTTCTTCGGCGCCCTCACTGCCGGCCCTACTGGTGACTTCTTCGGCCGCCGCTATGGTTTGATCATTTCCACCCTCGTCTTCACCTTCGGTGTCATCCTCCAGGTTGCTGCGACCGCCATTCCCTTGTTCGTCGCTGGCCGCTTCTTCGCCGGATACGGAGTCGGCATGATCAGTGCCCTGATTCCCATGTATCAGTCTGAGACCTCACCCAAGTGGATTCGCGGTACCATTGTCGGCTGCTACCAGCTCGCCATCACCATCGGCCTGCTGCTTGCTTCCATAGTCGGAAATGCCACAAAGGACCGCAACGACTCTGGCTCTTACCGCATCCCCATCGCTGTTCAGTTTGCCTGGGCCATCATTCTGATCGCCGGAATGTTCGTCCTGCCCGAGACTCCACGCTTTCTCATCAAGAAGGGCAAGCCAGAGCAAGCCGCCAGGTCGCTCGCCCGTCTGAGGAGGCTTGACATCCAACACCCTTCCATCGTCGAGGAACTCGGTGAAATCACCGCCAACCACGAGTACGAATTGTCTCTTGGAAAGGCCACCTACGGCGACTGCTTCCGCGGTAACCTTGGCAAGCGTCTGGCCACTGGATGCGCCCTCCAGGCTCTGCAGCAGCTGACAGGTGAGCGAAATCGGCCCCGTCTAGTTGGGGACTGATGATACTGACGCTGGTGAAACCCAGGTGTGAACTTCATCTTCTACTATGGCACTTCGTTCTTCAAGAACGCCGGCTTCCAGAACCCCTTCACCATCTCTCTCATCACCTCCTGCATCAACGTCGGATCCACATTCCCTGGTCTTTGGATGGTTGAAGCTTGGGGCCGTCGCCGGCTGCTCCTTTTCGGAGCCATCGGCATGGCCGTGTGCCAGTTCATCGTCGCCATCGTCGGCACCGTCTCCTCGGTTTCGGACCAGCCCGCCCAGCGCTCCATGATCGCATTCGTCTGCATCTACATCTTCTTCTTCGCCTGCTCCTGGGGCCCCGTCGCCTGGGTCGTCACGGGCGAGATCTTCCCGCTCAAGGTCCGCGCCAAGTCCCTCTCCATGACCACGGCCTCCAACTGGCTGCTCAACTGGGCCATCGCCTACGCCACCCCCTACCTCGTCAACAGCGACCCCGGCGACGCCAACCTCGGCGCCAAGGTCTTCTTCATCTGGGGCGGCTGCTGCTTCATCTGCATCTTCTTCGTCTGGTCCATGATCTACGAGACAAAGGGCCTCTCTCTCGAGCAGGTCGACGAGCTCTACGGCAAAGTCAACAAGGCTTGGAAGAGCAAGAACTTCGTCCCTACCATCTCCTTCCAGGAGGTTGCCGATCTGCATCCCGGCGAGCGCCACATGTCTCTTGCCCAGGCCGAGGACGAGGTCGTTCGCAAGAAGAGCGTCAGTCACACCGCCACCGAAAAGGTTTAAGGTGGGTTGGCGCTGCAGCAGCGATGGAGGGCTGTAGAGGAGATTTTAAGGTTCACGATTTATCACGATGGCTGCGCGCACAGTGGTGTATTTATAGTAAGGCGTTGATCTGGGTTGGGATTTTTGCTGTAGATAGCTTCTTCTACTATATGGAATAATTTTCAATATTTTGCAGTCACTCATGAGAGTAGTCGAGACCATGTCGCACCGATTTACACATTTCGGAGCCGTTCAGATGGATCGAGTATATAACAGCCAGAGCGAATGCCCAAAACACGACGCAGCCCACCTTTCCCTCTCGTTCCGGGTTACGACTCTACGCGCAGTATTATCGTAACAAAGGACGTGTACATCTCTCGAATGTGATGGCATCGAAGCCCGATAGAGCCGGGCTGGGGAGGAAGGAAGCCGTTGCAAGTAGTGTGGGTGGAACGATGGGTTGTTTGGCAGAAAGCCGGGAGGTGAAGGTCACTACACAAGAGCAAGACGGTGAGGAAGAGAGAGAGAGAAGATTCCATGTTTATGCTATTTACGCATAGGTAGTAGGTTATAGGCAAGTGCAGTTAGGTGATAATGCTAGGTATAGACCGGCATCACGACCACAGTAGCTGGAGTGGATATCCGGATAAACGATGCGAGTTTCAAAACCGTACAAAATCCATTCAGATATAGGATTCCATCACCCATGTGAGATGAGATGCAAGAGCGCTGCTTTCTTCCTATGCCCACTGTGGAGCCACTACGTAGTCCATACCAGAGCCGAATGGGGATGGAGATTAGACTGTTATACTAGAGACCAGCATATTTCCTAATACATGGGGAGGGGAAACGACAGTACGCTTGAAACGAACACGCAAGCACAAACTCAAAGCAGAAGATATATATACATGACACGTCAAAGAATTAAGCATGCATGCTGCACTCAAACAAGTATCTGATTTTTTCTTTTTTTCGTTCGATTTCTTTCTCATTCCTAGTCCGTTTCCCGATCCCATAAACATCATCAAGCTTGGCCTTGTCGCTTTTTAGCTCTGCGTCGGCATGTTCACGCTCGCCTTCTGCGCGAGTGCATCCTCGTGGCGCCAGAGAGTCGTGACCGTCTTCGTTTGCGTATAAAAGTTGATGCCGGGCTTTCCGTAGAAAGTGCTCGCTCCACCACCAGCAACGCTCCTCTTGTTTCCCGTAAAAGAGAAAATGGGCAGCGGGACCGGGATGGGTACCTTTGTAGAGAGTCAGCCATCAGGAGCATGAAGCCGTAGTAATTGGATTTGTAGAAGAATAGAAACGTTCATGGGGGGTTGAAGTGGTTCGCCCGGACGGATAAGTGTCGTAGTTGTTTGGCAGCCACATCCGGACGATAGCTCCGACTCCCGATGAAGCCTTGCCCCCGTCTGAATTCCATTCCGAGAAAAAGGGGGAGAAGAGGTAGGTCACTCACATTGATGCCGACCTGGCCGGCCTCGATCTCGCTGCGGAAGCGCTCGGCGGTGGGGCCGGAGCGGGTGAAGATGGCAGTGCCGTTGCCGTACTCGTTCGCGTTGATCAGGCTGATGGCGTCGTCGACCGTGTCCACGTTCAAGCAGACGAGGACGGGGCCGAAGATCTCTTCCGTGTAGCAGCGCATGTGCGGCTTGACGTTGGAGATGATGGTAGGGCCGACCTGCAAACCAAAAAAAAAAAAAAAAAACACATCAGCCAGCCACTCTCAATCGGAAAGAAAAGAAAAGTCGGCGGTTCCAACCACTCACCCAGTTGCCGTTGGGGTACTTCTCCGGCTTGTACCCCCTGCCGTCGAGCAGGATGGTCGCGCCCTCCTCCTCGGCGCTGGCGATGAGGTCCTCGATGCGCTTCTGCGCCTCGGGGCTGATGACGGGGCCCAAGTCAGCGCCGGGCTCGAAGCCGCCGTTGACGTTTAGGGCCTTGGCGCGCTCCGCGATGTCGGGGATCCAGTCCTTGGTCTCGCCGACGAGCACCAGGGCGCTCAGGGCCATGCAGCGCTGGCCGGCAGCGCCGAAGGCGGCGCCGGCGATGGCGTTCAGGGCGTGGTTCTTGTTGCAGTCGGGCAGCACGGCGGCGTGGTTCTTTGCGCCGAGGTTGGCCTGGCAGCGCTTGCCGTTGGCCGAGGCGCGCGAGTAGATGTACTCGCCGGCCTTGTTGCTGCCGACGAAGCTGACGGCCTTGATGCGCGGCTCGTCGAGGATGAAGTCGACCGTCTTGGCCGCGCCGTGCACGATGTTGACCACGCCCGGCGGGAAGCCCGCCTTCTCGCACAGCTCCGCCAGGATCATGCACGCGCCCGGGTCGCGCTCCGACGGCTTGATGACCAGCGTGTTGCCCGTCACCGTCGCGATCGGGATCGACCACAGCGGGATCATGGCAGGGAAGTCTGTTGTTTGGTGCAACCGCACGCATCAGCCCCTGGTCCACTGCCCCATGCTGCCTCCTCACCCAATCGTACATATTGCATAATGCAATAATATCCACCCCTCTGCGTCCGTGTCCGCAGCATCACATGCTCTCGGAAAATAAAATAAAAACGGGGACGACGACGACGACGACCGCGAACTCAAGGACAGGACAGGACAGGACAGGACAAGACAAAACAACTTACTAAACGGACAAATCGCCGCCGTCACCCCCAACGGCTCCCTATACGTCCTCGTCTCCATGTCCTTGCTGACCTCGAGCACCTCGCCCGTCAGCTGCGTCGTGATGCCGCACGCCGTCTCGGCCACCTGCAAGCCGCGCAGGACGTCGCCTTTCGCGTCCGCAAACGTCTTGCCCTGCTCGAGCACGATGCTCGCCGCCAGCCGGTCCCAGTGCTCGCGGATCAGCGCCGTGAACCGGAACATGACCTGCTGCCGGTGCAGCAGGCTGGTCGCCTTCCAGGGCCCGAACGCGCGCTCCGCGCTGTCGACCGCCGCCTTGAGCTCCGCGTCCGTGCTCTGCGGCACCCGCGTCACCAGGCTGTTGGTCGCCGGGTCGTGCAGCTCGATCCACTGGGTCGCCGCCGAGGGCACGAAGGCGTTGTCGAGGAAGTTCTGCGTGTCCAATGGCTCGGCCACGGCGTCGTGCGTCGTGATGTACGAGTCGACCGTCGAGGCCGCCGTCGTCGTCGCCGCCGCGGCGGGCTTGAGGTGCTGCGCCGTCTGGTGCAGCCGGCGTGTGGCGATGCCGCCGCTGGCGGTGGGCTTCGCGGATGCCATGGCTCTCGTGGAGAAGCGAGCTGCTCTGGGGGCGGCGGTGCGGGAGGTGATGGCGGGGATGTTCCGTGCAAGCAAGCGGCGTGCGGCCATTTTCTGGACGGCTTCGAGCTTGATTGCACGAGTGTCGGGGAAGGAAAAAGAGGATGGAAGGCAAGCTCAGCTGGCCGACGCTCACAATAAGTGCTCTTGAAAGGAGAGAGCTAGTCAACGGGTGAGGTGGTGCTCGGCTTAAGCATGACGCTGCCGGCTAGTTGAGGCGTGGGGAAGATGAAGCCGAGGGTCAACACTTGGCCCTTGCGCTTGCGCCCGCCCTTCTCCGCTCCGTCCACAAATGTTCCGTCGTGTCCTCCGCCGTCAGCGCCGCTTGCGCTTCGGCCTGCCTTTTTCGGCATTGCCACCATGGCAGACAACACGTCGCATTAACACTCCACTTCGAGCGGCACGTACGTAGGTAGCAATGAACAATCCATTTACCAAACAATAGGTATAACACACCCGACTATCAATATCCGTGAACTCCTATAGGTAGTGAGCACGCCGCTGGAATTTTTTGATCCCCCGACTTTCAATGTAATTTCTGCCATCCTTCATCCGAGCTTGCTCTACGAAGAGGAGCGAGTCTGACGCTTGGTCGCCTCACCGGCCTTCTCGGCACCAGTGGACACCGCCTCAGCCGCCTTGTCCTTGGCCTCACCAGCCTTGGCCTTGGCCTTGTCGGCCGTGGCCTTGACCTGCTCCTTGGAGGGAGCAGAGCCACCAGTGAGAACAACCGCAATGAGAGCGATCAGAATAGCCGCGATTCCACCAAGGCCACCGGCGATGTCGGGAAGCATGCGAAGAGCGGCGAAGGGGTCCTTGGGAAGGATCTCGAAGAACAACAGGGTGCGCTCCTTGATGTAGTTCACCGGGTCCTCCTTGAAGTCGAGGTCAAGGGGAGACTTGGCCTTGTCGTCCTTCTTGGGCTTGGTGGCCTCCTCCTCGGCCTTCTCAACCTTGACCTTGACATCGTACGACTCCTCCTGGAGCTTCTGCGCATCCTCGATCGAGTGGCCGACGTAGATGTTGTCAAAGAGGATGTCCTTCTGCATGGTCCAGATTTCAAAGCCAATCTGCAACTGTGTCAGTTTGCGGAACATGGCAGGGAGCTTTGCCAGTACTTACAGCGCCAATGGGCTCAAAGTTGGCCGGGGTCTTGTCCTCGAAGTAGTCGGGGTTGGCGATCTTGCGAGGGGCCCACGGGCCCTTGTAGTCCGGGTTGTCGATCAGAGGAGCGGTCCACTTGCCCTTGTAGGCAGGGTTCTTCTTCATGGGAGCCGTCCACGGGCCACAGCCAGAAACCTCGTCACACTTGGGGTTGGGGACAGTGGGAGCAATGAAGTCACCGTCCTCCTCATCATCCCAATCCTCGGGCTTCTCAGCCTCGGGGTCAGGAATGGTGCTGGGCTCATCCTCGAGCCAGTCCTCAGGCTTCTCGGCCTCCTCGTCGACAATCTCGTAGGGAGCGTCCTCGTCCCAGTCCTCGGGCTTCGTAGCCTCGGGGTCGGCGATCTTGGCCTGGTCCACCCAGTCCTCGGGCTTGCTGTCGTTGGGGTCGTCGATCTCCTCCGCGGGGTTGACGGCCGGAGTGAAGTCCTCAAGGAGGGTGCCGTTACGGATCGACTCGCCGTTGATCTTGATCTCGAAGGTCTGATCCGGCTTGACAATGAGAGTGTAGAGGGCCGACGTCTTGGAGATACGGGCCGACGGGGGGCTCTTGAGGTGCTTCTCCTCGTACTCGCCCGTCTTGGGGTTCTTGTGCTTGAAGATGAAGTGAACCTAGACACCCTATTAGACCTGCGTAAATGCTGTAGAACCAATGCGAGCAGTATTGCATCAATGAGGGCATGGAAGGTTGAAGCGTATCCAGCAGGTCAGAAGTGCGGAACGCATGCTGAGCCAAGCCGAATGCCCCACTTTCCATGCTCCAATTGTTGCAATACTCTCCAAGTGTCGTGCGTGTGAATTCATTCCAAACGTACCTTGTTGGTGGCACCGCACTTGTCGGGGCCGAACATGATAACGTAAGGCGAGGCGTTGGAGAATTCCTCGGCGTGGAGAGCCTTGTTGTCCTGGAGGAGCTTCATGTAGGCACCACCGCACTCAAGGCCATCTGTCATGGTTGTCAGCGTGTCATTCAGCAGCCGACAGCACGACGAATTGCGTACCCTGGAGCTTGACCTCATACTGGACAACGAGGGTGTTGTCGGTGTTGTCGACAGCCTTGGGGAACTTGGCCGAAATGGCGTGGTGAGCAGCCTTGTCCTTGATGACGAGACCCTTGTCGCCCTCAATGCCCTTGAGGACCGAGGGCTCCTCAACGGACCAGGTGCCGACGTAGGCCCATTCTTCCTCGGTGTTCTCCTTCTTGGCGTGCGAGACCTTCCAGCGCTCTTCCCAGTCGTCGGTGAACTGCTCGAAGAAGGGAGCAGTGATGGTGGTAGGCTGCGGGAGACGCTGTTAGCCTTGCACTAGCTCTGCACGAAGGCGCTAGCTTCGGAGGGTGGGCTCTGTGCGAGCGACTTACGGTGAAGGTAGGCTTCTCAACGGCCGAGGTGGAGGTGGACGACGAAGCTTCGTCAGCGCGGACGGCAGCTGCGCTGAGCAGCGCGATGGGGAGGATGTTAGCACGCATGGTAGAGTCCGCTTGCTGTGGCTACAAGCAAGGGCGATGGCCAATGGCAGAAAGTCGAGTGATCAACGGAATGCGAAGAGAGAGGGAGAGGTGGAGATGCGGTTGAAATAGCTGGGCGCGCGAACAGCTTGTGACCACCGTGGCAGTTACCCGGCGTAATTCTGCCGCGCGCCGCTGACCGCCTGTCCGTGCGGGATCCCCGCAGAAGTCGCGGCCGGCTGGCGCTGCGCCGGCGCACCGTGGCGGCGGCAAGCGACGCGCCTGCCAGTGCGCCCCGACCAGCCTCAGCCGCGGGGAGCTTATTTCCTTCTAGAGTCTTCGCCCACCCTGTCATCAAACACAGCCTCACCATGTCGGGAAGGTCTCACTGCTCCAATCTCGGCCGCGCTCTGCCGCCGACCTGCACCTGCTGGACGGCCAGCACGCGAGCGGGCAAGCACGCCGCCAAGCCCCGCGGCCGCCGAGACTTTGACAAGCGGAGCGCGTGCATGGGGTGGAACGCGAAAGAGCCGGCCGGATGTTCAGGTCTGGTAGAGGGAGCCACGGAGCCACGGAGCCACGGAGCCACGGAGCCACGGAGCTTGGCTGCTGGCGGCGCGCACTGACGGGCTATATAAATGTTTCGGTGCGCGGGTGAAACAGGCACGGCTGGGCTGGGCTCATCATGCGGCTGCCTCAGGACGGTGGCCCAGGGCGCGAGGGCACGATGGCAGCTTCCAGTCGGATGCCAGTTGTTCTTTCCTGTCGAGCGGGCCCTGGCGCCGCTAGCGACCAATCGGGTGCGGGCTCTGTAGCTCGGCCTAGGCTCCTCACGCGCTTCCCCGCCGATTGCTCTGCCAACGTCTTGCGAGTGGGCTCGCCGCACTCGCGACGCCTCTCTCGTCGAACGAAAATGCAGCTCTCTCCTCGCCATCATCACCTGCAGCCCTTGGGTCCCGCGTGCGTGGCATTCTCCGCAGGCCCATCCTTGTCCCGCCCCGGGCCGCAGTCCACAGCTCACCCTGTTCCGTGACTCTTCTCTTCCTCCAGTCCACAAACCCCCGCTGTTTTGGCCTGCTCTCGAGGCCATTCGTCCCTGTTGTCATCACATTACTCTTCCGGACCGGTCTGGCGTGGCAGCACGCAGGCGCAATGGCGACGGCAGGGAAGCAAGAAAAAGAAAGTTCATTTCTGGTCCTCAACACTAGTCTCGCCTACGGTGCTTTACCCACGTTGCCCCTCTTGTGCGGCCCGAAACCACTGAGGACTCAGCATTCCGGGTGCTGGCAGCGTCCTGCCCGTTCCACCGCCAGTTCCCGGCTCCATCCAGCTATTCCGCTTCCAAAGAGTGATCTTCAGCAGAGGGAGAAGCCTGTCGTATCACGGGCCAAGCGTCGAAGGGACCGCGCGGCGAGACTGTGAGAGGCCGTCTTTTGCTACTGGCACGGCGACCAGCATGAGGAGCACTAGGGCGCTGTCAGATTCGCGATGCGCCGGATCGCGGCAAGCAGGAGACTGTCACTCACGATCGAGATCTTCTGGACGTCCATGACACATTAGCCAGCCCTCTCTCTCCACACCGCTCGCCCTCAGGACCCCACCCGTAACAGGAAATTGGCTTACCAGACAAGTGTCACGCTTACAAGGGTCGATGCAGGCCGGGTTGCTTTGGCATCCCTGCAGCGCAAGTCAGAGTGGGCGAGCTGCCAGGCACGATGGGGAGCGCCGGCTCATACCGTCATGCATGAACTGTAGGCCGCGTCGCACGTCTCGTCGCAGCCGCCAGAGGACCGCGCCGTAGCGGCGCCGGCGGCGACAACCGTGGCTATCAGCAAGGCGGCGGCGGGTCGCATGGCTGCTGTAAGCGAGTGGATGGTCTCTTTTATCGGCAAGGTTCTGTGGATGCTGCGTGGGAAGACCAGCGCGGCGAACGAGTGGACATGGGACTGAAGCGAGCGTGGGAGATTGAGGGGAAAGGGAAGGAGGGGGCGACGGCAGATGCGACGGTGCCGCGGGCTTAAGTACCACGCCCCCGGAGACGCATGATTGGGCGTGCAGAAGGAGGAAGTTGGGGCAAGAGCAGGTGAGCGCAGTCTAAGGCTGGCCGCCTCGTTTGCATGTTCTAGTCTTCTGGAAAGTGAGGTGAGAAATGCAAGACGTGCCCAAAGATGCCGGCCAGGAACACTCTTGTCGTCGTGGTCCGCCCCGGTTCCCGGGCCCGTTCCCAAGCACCGCCGAGTCCACGATAGGGCAGCATTGCGTTTCGAGAGGCATGCGAACGCAGGGCTGTCTCTGTGCGCTAACGAAAAAGCAGAAAAGCGGGGACACGACAGTCCCCACGGCCTGGAGAATGTGCCTGGCACTAAGCTGCAAGATGCAGAAGAGCGGGCTGGCAGCCATGGGCACGGGAGCTGCCACGGTGATTCGGTTCTGCTTCCGGCTTGACAGGTCACCGTTACGGGCAGTCGGACCTTGACCCAGCACATGCCCCGCCCTTGTTCTAGATCGCCGACCCAGCTCGCGGATGGCTTGTAGTATCTACCTGCAACAGCCAGCCCTCCCAGGAGGCCCCACGTCGCCCAACCGCGGACCCGGACGTCGGAGAGGGATGCCTGCCCCCTCCTATTCTGCCCGCTACAGGCATCTCGGCAGCCTGCTTGAGGAAAGGCCGGATGCGTGGCCTGCGCACTCTTGTCCGAAGGCTCCGCTCTTGTTGGCAGACTGCCAGGTGCGCTGTGCACGGCCAGTCCAGGCCGGATGTGGCATCATACTTCTGACTCAAGGATTGGAGAGGAGCCTTGTCCGGGATCGTCATCTGGATTGGCGGTGACCAGGAACACTGCGACGGAAGAGAGGGTCGTCCCGAGCCCAGCGTTGATGCTCCATGGCCGCCTGCGAGCCGTGAGCGGTAAGGCTGTCCCAGCAACCCGTTCCATGCGATAAAGCACGGTGTCCGGAGCGCGTGCGACTGAGATGCAGATGTGAGGCAAATGGCCTCACATCAATATTGCCGGCCACCGTGGGCTGCTGAAGTATCCGCCTGGACAAGGAATTGCGCGTCTCTTTACCGCACTTTCGCCCCAGGACCAATGATGCTCGACGTCCCTACAACCTCCAGCTCCCAGGATGCCACGGTGCCCTCCAACGGCCGCGAGCCTGCGCCGACTACGTCCCGCACCGACCTCGCACGAGTCGGCCGCGAAGACGTCTACCCCGCTCCTGTATCCGTGCCCCCTAGGCTTTTCTGCGCAGACTCGGCGAAAAACTCCACCTCAGCTCGGTCGTTACCGTGACTGGATAACAGACCCTAAGCCGTGTGCGGGACCTACCCGCGAATCATCATGACGGACCGCGAAGGACTAGACGGTGGACCCTGGCACACCACGGACGTTATTTTGAGGTCGCTCATCATGAACGGCGGCCCAGGGTCTGAAGTCACGGTACGAACGGCGAGCTGGGATCATCGGTGAGCGCTTGCTACTGGTCTAGTATCACCGTGCGCACCAGTATACCGCTCCATTGCAATGGCATCATGTCCGAGATAAGCAGCCCTAGCTGAAGAGCCTGGAAGCTTCCCGTTCGTCAACCCGCCCGGGTGCCTGAATCAGGGAGAGCGGCGCAGGCGCAACGGAAACGGCAAATGAAGTGTGCCGTTGCCGGCATACGAGCTAGGTAGAAAGTGCTCCCGCTGCCTCGGAATCATCTCCACGAGACGATCTGCGTCGCCCGGCTGGATGCATCACCGACTCTTGCTTGGATACCGCCAAAGCGGAGCCGCGGTACGTAAGGGCCGGAGGTATTGCCTCAAAAGGATCCGCGCCTGTGACTGAACTCTCGCACGGCTCTGGGGGGTCTCGACCCTTGATCTGCGTTAACATGTCTTTGGCGTCTCTCTCACAAGTGAAAAGGGACGTTCCATACAGAGCAGTCTGGTCGACCGACGATCCTGGTTTTGAAACGCACACCGATTGATTTCCTACCCGAGCAGTTTTCCCATCGGTTGCGCTCTCATCTCGCCGAGCTGACTAAATATGGCCTGCAATGGAAGATCACACCGCTGCGTGAACAGCCTTCACCGAGATTTCAAGGGGCGAAGTCACACGCGAGGAATTCGGATATCAAGCCCGGGCTAAGTCCCAGTTGATTGTGAATCTGATGAGCATGAGCAACAGTTATCTGAGATGCGGTGCGTCTGGCTGTCCACGACTTGGTAAGTAAGATCCGTCCCCGACAGTCCGGACCCGGCGCCGGTCTACCCTAAGCTTGTGGGGACTGTGATCTGTGGAGGGGGCAACGACTTTAATTTGCACAAGAGACTAGTGCTTGCTCGCTTCCCTCGCGCCGGTATGACGTCGAGCCAGACTTGCAAGCTGCTCGTGGCAAATCGACATCTTCATACAGTACTCTCTTCATGTTCCTATCTCGCATAGTTGACAACCTCAGCAGTGATCCATCCCGACCTCTCACACCGTATATCCGCCTTCCCTCTTCCAGAACATCCTCCGTGAATAGCTCACGTTTCAGCTGGGACGTGCACGGGATCCCACCCTGGACCAAGAGTAGCTGCATGAGACGTATCCCAAGCTAATTATGCATCTCGCGCGCATCACTTTCTCTCCGACCAACCATTTAGCCCAGCGGCTACCCAAGCCTGCTAGCACAACATAAACGCGATCTTGGACTCTTGTTTCCAATGTAGGATTGTGCCCAACAGCATACATCGGGCATTGATCCCTCGAATCGCACACCATGCTTTCGATTGGGGTGTTGCGGCCTGATGTACTTGGTCGTCAACAGACAGGACACACGACGTGCCAATAACCGCAGAGCGCCCCCTTACCTAGTCTCGGGTACTTATCTATCGTATCCTCGTGTCTTACCCTGACCAGAGCTGATCCTTTTTTCGGCACACGGACCATCGGGCAATGTGGAGCCCCTCCATATACCACGTGAGCGTTTTTGCACATCCAAAACTCTGCCCAACACGCTCCTTTCCGCCCCCGACAAGACCATATATGGCCGCTGATTGGTTTGGCCCAAGGGGCTGGCCGTTCAGCTCCCGCGCCACCTTCCCTCCCGGAAAGCCCCACCGGCTTCAGGCATCATCACAGACAGCTCGATCCTGCGCCATTTGCCCGCAGCATGTTGTGTAACCCGACTTCATCATCGACACGCACTTGAGAATGTTGCCCGAGAATACCGATCTGATAGATCTTATGCAATCACCGATTCATCGCGTGCACCGCGCTCTTGTTTGAAAAACGGGAAACGAACAAACGACACTGAAGCAAAAACGCAACAACTTTTTGGAAGTATCATAGCCCATGTGCAACTACGTTTCCCACGAACCCCAGCAAATCAGCATCCAAGCCGTGGCACACCCTCCTCCCCCCTGTTGGAAAAACGGCCGCCGCGATCCCCAAAAAGGTAGGCGCGCGGTCCCCTCTCTTAAGTTCATGATCGCTATAGGCGAACAGCAATCACCCCCCCACCAGTCCCCGGGGCTCCGACCGCGCCGCGATGAAGGTGGTAGGTAGGTTAGACTTGGCCGGCCAGGCCAGGGCCCCGTCTCTCTCTGACTCATTGCTTGGCTTTGCCGGCCATCCGCGTGGTGCCGTTGAAATCCTATTGCAAGACCCTGGCCCTGCTGCCGTGAGACGAGACCACTCCCCCCCCCCCCCCCCCCCCCCCGGCTCGTCTTATGATACCGCATTGCGTATGGCTGCCATCTCTTCCGAAGGTCCGCACGAGCTTGTGGGAGATAGCGCGCCGCCGCAGCTTTGCAAGGGGGGACGGGGAGGGGGAGCGGCCCGGGGCAGCTAGCCCCCTGCCTGCCACTGCCGCTGGCTGTTATCGAGTCGCTTGTTGTTGGAAAGCACAAACCTGCTCGTGGGTGGGATGGGGGGAAAAGCCTTGGCTTCTTGTTCCAGCAGTAGTTGTACTCAGATGGGACGGGACGCGAGGGGTCCCGAAAGGAGTATCGGTCCTCCTCCGCGTTCGGCCGGCCCCCTCACCCTCCCAACGCCCTTTCCTGGTGGAGATGGATGTGGCACTATGCTGTGCTGGCGTGAGGAGTTGGATCTTATATCTGAACGCGGATCTTGAAGCCTTGAATGCGGATGGATGCGTCAGGATGTTAGATTCGACCACGTTACTCCATCGACGTTTGCTTAGCACCACTCTCTGCCAAGCTTTTTTTTTGGCATGGGTAGGCGTTGACGAGCCTGATATACTTACTCCTTATACTCGAGGGGTAGGCTAACTGAGCATATCGCAAGTGAAGCTTAGCATCAATGAAGTTAAAAAGATACAGTGTCCTAAACAAGCCGACATAACGGATTCCGAGAAATGGAGAAGAAGAAAAAAGGAGTTTTAAAGGGGGTAGGTGGTGGTGGCGGCGGTTACAAGCAGCTGAAGCAAACGTCCGGAAATAGAACTTTTAAAACCTTTTCTATAGGCAGGTGAAGTAGCTGTCTAGACGCAAATATCAATCTTACCAGGTATTCTCCCCAGGCAGCAGAAGCAAATTCCCTGACGTAAATGCGAGGATTAACAGTCTTTCCTCAAGGTAGGTAAGTCAGATGTCCGGATATAGATGTTTACTTCACTAATCTTCCTTCCTAGACAGCTGAAGCAAATGCCCCAATGCAGATCTGGACTCCGACGATCTCTGATTTGGGGCAGCTGAAGCAAACATCCTGACGCAGATGGGCGTCAAGCACAGTAGGGATCTGCGCCCGATTCCATGACATCATCCTCGGTGGCTGGTAGGAAACGAGCGAGAAAAAAGGCGGCCATATTGGCGGGCGAAGGTCGCCGTGCGTCGGAGACGGTGCAAAACACGTCCGGAGATGGGCCTGGCATCTTACTACCCACGATCCATTCGTTCATCTATAAACATCAGTCGTGTGCCACGTGGCAGATTGTCATGGCAAGCTGCAACAGAGCAGCCGGCAGACAGTCGCCATTGTATTGTATGTACATACGTACGACACGTAGCGAACAACCTCGGTTCCCCGAAGCAATATATTATCGCGCCGAAGAAAAGTGAGACAGGGCAAATCCATTCACAAGACCTCATTGACTTCTATTCAGCAACCCCTTAACTATCATCCACCTCTGCTTCTACCTCTCTTCTATAGCAGAACAACTACAACGACAACGAACTACGCACACGCACACGCACGCCACAAACACACATAGAAGAGGAACAAGGCACACACGAAAAAGGATAGGTTTCAAAAAATCCCCTATACCTCACTCAAAACACTCATCCGTCCTCGCAACAGTGTCGGAGGAGGGGAGGTGACAACATCCAAACGCCACTCGCTATGACTAGTGTAAAAAAAAAGCATAAAAAGCAAAAGCAGTGCCATAGACAGCTGCGCCGCATTGCGTTCTGTGAAAACGATACTGTACTTCACAGTGGAAGAAGAAGAAGATGAAGAAGAGAGAAGAAGACAACAAGTCGGATACTCATCATCATCAGAGCTCCTCTCTCGCAACCGGCTTCCTAAACTCCCAACTGCGCGGCTTGGTGGGCAAGCCGAGCCAGAAATCCCACAGGCGGCTGAGCTCGACGATGGTGATCCTGATACTACACACACGACGCGGTTAGCATTTCTCTAGCAATCGGTGGCATGGCATGCATGATATGCCCTTTCCCTTTCCTTCCCCCCCCCTCATTCCCTCGATCCCCCAAGCACCTCGAAGGGCGCGGTGAAGTGAGATGAGACGAGACGAGGTGAGGCGAGTCGCAGAAAAGGAAAAGGGGAGACAGCCAAAAAAAAGAAAAAAAATAGAGAAAGACAAAAGAGAAAGGGAGCAAAACTTACAACTTCCCCGGAATGGCGGCCCACTGCCTCAACACCCACCAATACGCGTTCCACACCAGCTCCGCCTCCTCCTTGACCGACTCCCACGGCGTCGGGTTCTTGATGCGCGGCTTGCGCATGAAGGCCGGGTAGCCGTCGTCCTCGGCCTTCTTCTCCGCCTCCTTCTTCTGCCTCTCGCGCTCCGCCTCGGCGCTCTTCCGCGCCTCGTACGCGTCGGCGATGGGCGTCGGCAGCACGGGCGGGCCGGTCGGGTCGGCGGCGGCGCGGGACGCGGGTTCGTTCCTCGTGGTGGAGACCTGCCCGTCGCGCTCGGCGATCATGGCGCGGAAGCGCTTGACGGCGGTGATGGAGTGGCTGATGCGGCCGAGGGTGTTGACGAGGGCGACGAGCTCGGTGCGGCGGAGCGGGGGCGGGCCAGAGACATCATCGTCGTTCTCGTCCAGCTCGAAGAGGACCTTGAGGGCGGTGCCGTAGCCCGTGACCTGCAGCTTGCCCCAGAGGCGGCACTTGTCGCAGCCGACGCAGTCCATGACGCGCGAGACGTTGCGGAAGCGGTGCTTGAAGTCGTCCTTGAGCACGGCGGCGTGCGAGTCGCGGAACATGACGCCCTCGTCGAAGATGCGCTCGCGCTGGTTGGCGGGGATGGTGTCGACGAGCGACAGCACGAGGCTGCGCGTCGCGGCGTCCTGCGCCGGGTCGGCGGCGCAGAAGCGGTAGTCGTGCAGGTGGGCGCGCAGCTTGCCGACGGCGCGCAGCACGAGCGCGTAGTTGAAGTACAGGTTCGAGATGCGGTCGGGGAAGCGGTGCAGGCGCTGCTCGTAGCACGCCAGGTTGGGGTGCCACTCGCCCGTCGTCTGGTTGAGGAAGTCCCAGCACAGGTGCGTGCTGATGGACGCGTGCATCCCGCTCACGACGCGGTAGAAGACGCGCTTCTCCAGGCACTCGTCGTCCAGCTCGAGCTGGTCCACCCGCCGCCCTCCGGCCGCCGCCGCCGGCACCGCGCCCCGGTTGGCGATGGCCGACTGCACGTTCCGCTGCAGCGGCTGGTTGCGCATGACGTTTCTCAGATCCTGGGCCGCCTGCGCCGGGGCGCCGCCCAGGCCGGCCACGCCGAGGCCGGTGCCGGCGGGGGTGACGCCGTCGCCGTCGGGGCGCGGCTTGGAGAAGCAGTTTTCGCGGTAGATGGCCTCCCAGACCTGCTGCGAGCCGACGCCGGCGTAGCCGGTGAAGCGCTCCGGGTTGTCGAGCAGGCTGACGTAGTCGCCCTTTGCGGCGGCGCCCTCGTCGTCGGGCACGCAGTAGTCGCGCTCGTCGCACTCGTCGTCGTACTCGACGACGCAGCTCTCGCCGACGCCCTCGCCCAGGCTGCCCTTGAGCGGCCGGCGGCCCTCCTCGCCCTTCTTCTGCGCCGCGGCGCGGCCCGGGTGCTCGGCCTTGGGGCCCTCCAGCTTGCCCAGCTCCTCGGCGCGCCACACCAGCGGTATGTCCTCCTCGTTCTCGAGCGTGTTGACGGCGCAGGCCACGTTGCCGCACATGCCGTTCTCGTCGGACCAGAACGGGCACTTCTTGTTGTACAGGTTCAGCCGCCAGTACGAGAAGAAGTCCGTCTCGCGCGTGATCTTGTCCAGGTAGGGCGCCACCTCTTCGTTGATGTCCTCGAGGTCCGCGTACGTCGCGCATGCGTCCGACACGATGGCACCGGGCTCGAACTGCAGGGGTCGCGTGTGCTAGTTTTAGCAAGTGTCGTCCTCCTCACTGCCTGTTCTAGGCGGATGTAGAGCTAGCTTACCGCGCATTGATCGGCCTTGTGCTCTGCTGCATGTGATGCTGCATGGGACGAGCCCAACAGGGCGAAGACCGCCAGGTAGAAGCGTGATGTCCGCCGCATGGAAGGCCAAGTGGTTGGGGTTGGGAGAAAAAAAAAGCTGCGGAGCGCGGCGGAGGTTAGCAGTCAGTAAGTAGTAGGTAGCACTAGGTGCGGAGCTTGGCGGGGCGGAAACGACGCAGGGGAACAGGCCGGGGGAACGCACTCTAGATCACACGCGGCGCGTGTGTATGTGAGACAAGGGCAGCTTTTGCGGCGCTCGGGGGGGAGGCTTGGACCCGCGGATTATTTGTACGAAGGCGTGTCAAAGAGGCCAGATTTTACTCTGCCGCTAGAAGGTCTCGCTGACGGGCTGGGCGGACACATGCGACCAGGGACCCAAGAAGGACCCGCCCCATCCCGGCCCTGACACGGTGGCGCAACAGTCAAAGAGCCGCCCTAGCGCGCCTCGTGTAGCTACCAATCCTCTCAGCCCAGAGAACAGACGCCCGTCATGCCACCGTGGAAGGACAGCCTGCCTGCCTGCAGCCCGCCTGAAGTGACCATCGTTCCACCTCTCTCCCGCCGTCCCCCGCAAGCCTCGTATGTTTGAGACCCTGCACACCCCCAAGCACCTCCGTCACTACTTCCTTTGCACATGCCGTGACGCTGCCGCATGCGGTACGCTAGCCACACAGCCACAGCTCCCCTTGCGGCGCGCCACACCCTCCGATCTGATCTGCCCGTCCGTCGCCACTCGCCCCGACGGCCCGCCACGAGAAGCTTTCTCCGCAGGCGCCGAGCCAGCCCCGCCGTGATGATACCTGCCGCCGCGACGGCGGAGCCGGACTGTTTCTCGTGCACATGTAGTATGCATTGATCCTGTCAGGCAGCGATTACAAAGCACACAGAAAAGGTTTCGATTGACTACCGTCACATGCTCACGCGGATTTGTTGCACTGGTCATCACACTTTACATGGGACCGGCTTTTTGGAGATGTTCCTATCATTGTTCGCAAAACTGCAGGAGCTTCTACATCCATACATCCATTGTTTGCCCATCCAGAATCCATTTTGTCTTCCGTCCAATGTTGATCCTTGTAATACAAAACAAAAAAAAACAAAAAGCAACACCACGCTATGCAAAAAAAGCCTCGTGAGGCTGGGTATCTTTTCCATTCTTTTTTATACCAGTTTTCCTTGCGGAAAGTGCCAACGCCCTTTCAGACGGCGTTGATAAAGGCCTCGGCCGGGAGCGTGGCCTTGGCGGACTCGAACGTGGCCAGGGCCGCGTCCGGGACCCAGCCGCTTTGTTCGAGACACATGCGGGAGTAGTCGACCGTCATGCCCGTGTGCTTCGAGAACTCGAGGACCAGCAAGTCCTGCTCGGACAGGACCGGCTCGGACAGGACCGGCTCGGCCACCATCTGGTCGGGCTGGAAGGCGGCGCTTCCGCCGTACGCGCGGACCGTGAGCATGTCGTTGATGACGCGCAGGCCGCTTGCGGTGAGGCCGGGGCCGAGCGTGATCGACCTGTCGTAGGAGCGGCGCTTGGTGGCCTGGCCCGTCGAGACGTCCATCTCCTCGTACTCGCCGTGGACCGTGATGAGTGCTCCGACGACTCCCTGCGGGTATTGGCCGGTGCCATCGGGGACCACGGGCAGCGACTGGCACTCGATGTGGACCTTGTCGGGGTCGGCAGCATGCCTGGTCACGGGCATGGTCGCGAAAGCCTCGCGGATCTGATCCTGGCCGACGAAAAGGCGGGCTTGGCGGGCCGGGGCGTGGGTGATGGCCTTGAGGTTGCGACTCTTGCGGATATACGACTCCCACTCTGACTTGGTGAGAGCCTCGTTCGCCGAAGGGTCGCGAAGAGCGTGGCTGTTGACCGCGAAGCTGAATTGGGACGTCTGGTCGTAGTACGCCGTGACGAGGGCGTTGCGGTCGACGTCGAAGCCCGGAAAGAAGGCGGATACAAAGTTGTTGGTGACTTCCTCGTCTCCGAGCATGGTGCGAGGCTTGACGGGGAGGCCCTTCTTCTGCGACGCTTGCGCCTGGGCGACTTCGGCATCCGAGCGAACCTGGACTGCATTCAGGAAGCGGAGGCTGGGATACCACTTGATGATCTCAGCGGCGTAGTCCGGGACCTGCTCGATGGGGTTGTTGGTCAGGACCAGGTGATCCAGCTTGCGGAATCGCCTCTTCCAGGGCCGGAGGGCGTCCAGCGTGGCGAACTTGTTGTTGCTCAGATCGAGGTTCTTGAGATCCGGGAGCGAGAGCGACAGGGTCGTGATGTTCTCCAGTGAAGAGAGCTCGTTGCTGTGGAGGGTGATTGCGTCAAACTTCTCTTCCTTCTCTTGGGGAGTCGTGAACAGGAGATCCAGCTGCTTCATAATGGCAGGGAAGACCTTGGCCGCCGTAGAGGTGCCCATGTCGAAGACGCCAATCTTCTTGAGGTCTTCATCCGTGCCGAGGGCGCTAAGGTCAAGAAGCCTGGTTTCGGGGTTGTAACGACGGTCGAGCAGGGCGGTAAGAGCGGCGCGCAACCTAGCCACATCCGGATTCACGTCGGGAGTGGGTGAGCGTTGCTTGGTGATCTTCTTGATCGAGATGTTGGCACCCGAGAAGCTCCAACCATCCATGCGGAGCATAGAGTTTCCAATGTCGGTGGGAACCGTGAGGACCAGGCTGTCGTCATTCTCCTTGTGCCACTTGTCGAGGTGGACGTCAGCCTTGCCGGTGATGCGACCGGCCCTCAAGGCCTTTTGCCTGTTGATTCGCGTCTTGTTCTGGAGGAAGCTGACCAGGGAGCTGACTCCTTTGTCCTCGTTGGAAGCGGCCTTGCTGTTCTTCCAGCCTGTGACGCGGATCTTCATGTTCTCGGGGCGGGAGTCGTTGTTGCGGGGACGCGCGCGGACATTGGTGGAGGCCGAGGTGCCAGAAGAGGCCTGCATGTCGACTTCGTCTTCGAGAGCGTTGATGTTGAGGCCCTTGCGGCCAAGGCTCGAGCGGTTCCCACCAGCACCAGCACCAGCACCACCACGAGAGCTCTTGCCGATGCGATTGTTGTTGTTGCGAGGGCGAGAATCCATGCTGATGTCTCCGTCCCTGTCGGCACGACCTCCAGGGCCGCGCTTCCTGGAGGCGGCACGGCCGGTAGAGAAGTCGGAGTTGCGCTTCATGGTAGAAGCCATTCAGTGAGGTGGGCGGTTGATGGCGGAAGGTGTGGGGTAGAGATGGTCGCGGACTGGCGCACGAGGAGGAGCGCTGGTGGACGGATCGCGACGGGGAGGTGGTTGTGCGGGCAACGCCACAGGTTGAGTGACGAAGACCGTGGGGGTGGGAAAGGTTGGGGAGGAAGAGGTGGAAGAGGAAGCGCGCAAGACATAAGTAAAGCCTGACGGAAAGGGGTCTGTGCGCACGGCTATTGTAGCCTTCTGATTGTGCACGCTGCCTCACACCCCGTCACCTTCACTTTCACTTTCGACCCAGCACACCAGCCACCTTTTTCTCGCTCTGTACGGCTGCTGCGCATGGACACCAGCGTGGGCTTCATAGCCGCACCCAGGCTGCGGCCGGGCTGCGCCTCCAGGCAACCAATCAGGCATGCACGAGTTGGTGCCTGGAGATGCCTGCAGCGGCTGATGTCGCACAGCCGATCGCTCGGCCGCCACACCCCGCAAAAAGCTTGATCTACCCCTCTGCCCGCCCGCCCGCCTGGTCGCTCTTCCCAGTACTGCGGCACCGGCACGCAATACACATTTGGAAAGGCTAGATTCCTTTGCAACCCACCGATAGTCTTCGGCTGACTGGCTAAGCATTGCCCCATGAAGCTCCCTGAGATCATAGGACAAGCCTGGAGCGCGTTATAACTGAGCAGCTCGGCAAGGATGTCAGCAGTCTCGTGCTCGTGCCCGAGCCGAAGCAACTTGAGCTGGAGCAAGGAGAGCAGGCCCTTGTACACACAAGGAACGATGACGAGGTCAGCCCTAATGTGGCCTCCTCCAGTGCTAGCTACATTTTGGCCACGTGGTTTGTTGGCTTCGCCTCTACGCCGCCTAACATCGGATCCACCGCCACCGCCTCGTCCAACCACCCCGAGTATACAGTTAAACACCATAGTCTTTTCCTAATCATGTAGTATAAACCATGAGCGTGACCAAGTGCTCATCATTCAACCGCGTCCTCAATGCTATGGTGCCTAATCGCAGTGGTCATCCCGACACGAGGTCCGCCATGCGGCCCTATTGCATGCCATGGTAAACTGAATCATCACGCAGCTTATGAACGAAGAAATTGGCTTTCATATATCGGGTGTGCCTAATGCTGGCCCCAAAGACCTATGTCTGTTGGGCTCAAAACTCATCCTCCGCGCGCAAAACCAGTCCCTTCCTTCTGGTTGAGTCGAAAATTTTTCTTTGGGGCGATCGAGCTTCGCCGTCTTGAATTCCTTCACGGTCTTCTGCTACCTCCTCCAGGTCGCCCAACCCCGACCCTCAGACCACCCTCTCTGACTTGCGCCTCAACAACGGAGACCGGTATTCCGCATTGACCATAGATATCTTCGGTAAGGAGCCCTAGGCCATGGTTTGGATCACCGACGTCAAGGGGCGTCGCCAGACCCAAGCTCAAGGCCGCCATGGAAGCCGCCAACAAAGACTCCGCAGGCCCGACGCCGACAATGCCACCCCTTCTCCGTCGAACGCCTGGACAGCTCGGAGTCCCAGGCGGGCAGGCTCTTCATCAGGGTCGAAGAAAAGATGCAGCGGGCTCGGGAACATCCTGGAAGCGTCCGGCGACAGAAGCGCTGCGTCACCCAGGAAGGAAGGCCATGGCTGGCTGGTGAGGTCGGTCACCCAGAGTATGGTCCACAAGCACCGCTACCCAAACAGAATGCCGTCCTCCCCCAAGGCAGACGAGACCGTCTTCCCCTCCTCCACCGCAGCACCAGTATACTCAGCGGGAGAAGCGGCGACCGCATTCGCATCCGTCGATTTCTCGTCGCATGTACCTAGCCAGGAGCGCAGGAGCAGCAACGCACGCGGTCTCGGTCGGCTCCCCTCATCATCACTCTGCCAGCCAATCCCAGCAAAGAAAAAAAAAACCGATCGATCCGTCCTAAACGCGTTGCGCACACAAGACGTCCGTTAGCACAACCGTTTTCTCATCGACGCCATGGATGCATCCTCTCCGAAACCATGAACCGCCGCCCCCTCATCTCAACACGGAACATCAAAAGCTTCGAGAGCTTTCGCCTTCTTTCAGAACACCCTTTTATAAGCAGCGTACGGCCCCGAGACGACAACAAGTTTGTTTGCTTGTCCCGGAACCATACCTAATCCGGCTCTTCCTATATTGTGATAATTTCTCGGGTTTTTCGATGTTGCTCATCATTTGAAGGATGTCTTTGGACCCGTGCGAGAGGAGGGAGGACGGGCGGACTCGGGGAGAAGGAGAGAAATCGCTAGCTTACATTTCGTTTTTCGACGATTGGAACGGCACGGCAGTCTTGTTTGTGCTCGTGTCGACGTGTGTGTGTGGGAAAGTGAGAGGCAAGAGGATCGGCGGGGCGGCGCGCCCGGGCGCCCGGCTGCCTCTCTCAAGGCGTTTATCCCTCTCAGGTCGTCGGCATGGCGGGATTCATGGTGGTGTCGGCACCGCGTGCGTCGCGTGTCGTTAACGCGGAGGTGATGGAAGGGAAAGAAAAAAAAAAATGTTCGCGAGAGTGGAGGTTTCTCGCGACCCCACGCGCTCGGCGTTTCGGGGAAACAGTCATTCCGCTGCAATGCCTGCCTGAGGCACGCCGCTACTAGTAATGATGGAAACAGTCGAGGTCGCTACTCGGTCGCTGGATTGCAATTGCTTCGATTTTGCGTATGAGAAGTGGTCTATCATATTCGTTCGTACACGACTAGTCTGACTACTAGTATGTACCTTGGTATCATCTCTACAGCCAACGCTGCACAGAAAAAAAAAGAGCAAAAATCAATGTCGGACCCCAGTTTCCCCAACGAAGAAAGTCTACAGCAATCAGCCAGCCCATAGGTAGCTCCTTTTGTTACTCCGCGCATGAAAAAAATCCAGATCGCCCTTTCTACTCGGGCCATGTCACACCCTTCATTACCCTCTCTACTCCGCCATCTCGACACCTTTTTTCTGCATGCCGGCTTTGAATTGCTCGGCAATGTCTTGCCCATCAGTCGAGCCTTGCACATCCTCCATCGGCTCTGCCGTCAGTTTCCCCTTTTCTTCCATCTGTTCCATCAACATCTCCTCCACAAGGTTCTGCATGAGCTTGGTGGTCTTCGTGTCGTCACCAAACGCTCCAGCGCCGGCGACTTTCTCGTCCAGCTCCAGCTTCGAGTTGCCCAACGCCAAGATCTGCTCCTCAATGGTGCCGCGCGTGACAAGGCGGATCACTTCCACATCGCGCTGCTGCCCGACTCTGTGCGCCCTGTTCTCCGCCTGGATGTCCTCCTGCGGGTTCCAGGACAGGTCGTGAATGATGACCTTGTTGGCAGCGGTGATGTTGATCCCCGTGCCACCCGAACCAGTAGAGACCAAGAAAATGGGAATCTCTTTGTCTTCATAGAATTGGTCAATGATGTCTTGGCGAGTCGCGGTGTCGGTCGACCCGTCGAAGCGGAGAAAGGGAATGCCCTCGGCGGTCAGAACATCGCCCATGACGTCCAGGACCATCCTGAACTGCGAAAAGAACAGAGCGCGGTCACCGGTCTTCTGGTATTCCTTCACAAACTCTACCGTCTTTTGGAATTTGCCCGATGCGAACTTGAGGTCCTCCGTCATCTCAAATTCACCCCAAAGATCAGGATCCTGCTCGACCAAGTCCTTGATCTTGTAGTCGTTCAACTTTCGGAGGTAGTCGAAGGACGTCTGCACGCTCTTGCTCGCACCAACCTCATGATGTGCCTTTGCCATCTTCGTGATCTTCTCATCGTCGTAAAAGTTACGGTCCAGAAGAGGATGGCATGCCGTGAGACGAAGCTTCATGAGATAGTTGGCGCTTCCGGAACTGGGCAGATTCATTTTCTTCCTCTGGAACGCCTTTTGTTGAAGGGCAAGGACATCCGAGTAGACCTTCTTCTGCCTTGGGTCCAGTTCGCAGTACTCGACTCGGTTGGTCTTCATTGGCAAGACACTACCGAGCACTTGCTCCTTCTTCCTGCGCAGAATGAAGGGTGTCATCATCGACCGCGCTTTATCGGTACGTGAAGCCGACAGAAGAGTCTTGTGGCTGCTTTTCTCGGTTGTCGTAGCCTTGCGGCGGAAGATGAAGTTGAGGTTGTCGGCATGTTCGGCGAAGACATCCGGCATGATGAAACCCAACAGTGACGCCATCTCCTGCAGGTTGTTTTGTAGGGGAGTGCCAGTGAGCAGCAAACGCATCTTTGCCGGGATACGCATTGCGCACTTGTACTTCTGTGCTGAGCTGTTGCGTAACTCATGGCCCTCGTCAAACACGCAAACAGTCGGGGACAGCCTGCGGAAGAACTTTGAATCGTTCTTGTCCGTCGAACTCATCATCGAGTAAGTCGTGACTACGGCGTCGGTGTCATTCCGTCCATCTTCGATGAGTGCCCTGAGATCGGCGCGTTCTTTCAGCGAACCTTGATAAGGAATGGCTCTCATCGTTCCTTTCTGGGTGAATTTCTCAAATTCTCTCATCCAGTTTTCAAGGGTACTGTTTGGAACCACGATCAGATGGATTCCCTTCTGGCCCGTTGACTTGAGATGAGCCAGGAACGCGATGACCTGGCAGGTCTTGCCGAGGCCCATGTCGTCAGCCAGGATACCGGAAAGTTTGTTCGTCCAAAGGGTGTTTAGCCAGTTCAGAGCGACCAGTTGATAGTCCTTCAGTTCCAGGTCTTCAGCCATGATGGAAGGCTTCTTCAGAACGGTGAACCTCGACTTGGCGACAGGGTTTTGGTCATCGTCGTCCGTCTGCGAAGGTGAGCCGGGCGTGCCCACGCCCGAGTCGTTCTTGACATCGTCGAGAGTCGTAAGGTTGAGCTCGCCAGAAGCGTCCGAAGCAAGCGACTTTGCTCCAAAACGCACCATAGCTGCTTTGATTGGCTCGCCGATCTTCTTGCACTGCTCTACAAGCTCGGAGATGGACTGGTAAGCATTCCACATCTTCTCTGCATCGTTCAAGACCTTTGTCCCGGTGGACAGATGAGTGCGAGGCACTTTCCCGGTCTTGGTCAGCTTGGGCGGGTTGAGCTCCACCCTCCGAATCGCATCCAAACTCTTGAAGGGTCTTTTCGCCAGGACGCCCTCACAATCCTTCAACGACTTCTCAGAAAGATCCGCAAGTTCCGGCGCAGAGCATGCGTTGAGGTATGCGAGCAGGTTCTGCTCGGCTTCCTGCTGGGCTTGCTCATCAATCTCTTCCTCGTCGCCGGATGCATCGGAGTCGGAATCGATGGCGACAGCCTTCTTCGTTCGTTGTTCCGGTGCTTGCTTTCGGGGCGTCGGCTCCTCACTGGGGGAAGGCGACTTTGCAGCAGGCCGGCGGCCTCTCATCAAGCGACCGCGTGGCTTCACCGCCGGAATTTCGGCGGCAGAGGAATCGTCAGCGATTTCAACGACTTCCTCGTCGCGCGGCTTCCTTGCGAGCATGGAGGTGTACTTCGAAGCGATAGACTTGCTTGATTGCTTCGACTTGTTAGTGGTAGCCTTCGCGACTTTCACTGGTGATGCGTCGTCCTCGGTGAGGTCGATCGTCTCCGCCTTGGACGCCTTCTTGCGCTCCTCCTCTTCCAGCTCACAGACGTAACTGAGGGCGTCATCATACTGTCCCTTTTTACGAATCAAGGCTTCGTAAAGGAGGTATATGGGCTTTCCCGAGTATACCATCGACATCCGCTTGACCTTCTGGGCTTGAAAGAAATCGCCGATATCCGACAACTTCATGTCGTGGTTGATGTTGGGCTGATCGACGGGTTGTGCCCGGGACGGGCCAGTCTGACGCTGTTGAGGACGAGGCTTCTTGACTGGTGGTGAATAAGCATTCGCCATGTCATCGGCCGAGCGCTTCTGGGGACGACTAGTGGGTTCCTTGTGGGTATATTGCGCAAGGAGTTGCTGGTACGGAGACGGGGCAGCATCCTTGGGAGGCGGAATACTATAGCGAGGTTTGCTCTTGGTGACGAAAGTCGAGGGCTTGATGTCGGACCTCGACAACGGCTTCGAAAGCTCGTCTTCGGACGTGTCACCCGCCGGTGAGTCGCTGAAGCTTCCCGCTGAGGCCATCGGAATGTGAGGTTGACGGGGAACAGCGCCTTTCTGCGCAATGGAAGAGATTGTGCGGGACTTGGGCGGTGAAGGTGACGATATAGCTTGCTGAGTGTGTTGTGTGGGTGACGACGCCGGGACCTGAACCACCGCGTTCGAATCGGTTCGGGCTCGCACCGGGGTATCTAGGATCTGTGTCGGCTGTGTGACGTTGGGGGCGGGTGAGGCAAAGTAAGGCGAGGACTGCGGCGGAGCGGCAGGGTTGACAGGGTGGGTGAGCGGAACGGTCGCCATTGTGTCGTTGTAGTCGGCAAAGAGCTCGTCTCCGCTGTCGTCTTGTGAATTGTAAGCGGCGTCAGCATGCTGGCGCTTCGCAGGCGTCTCGGCGATGGGATCGCTATCCATGGCGATTGCTTCGCTTGCGACTGTAACCCAAGTAGGGGCTGAGGCGTGGGTGAAGTTGCGAAGCACCGGTGGGTGACCCCAAAGGCGAGAAGGTGGGTCTCGGTGTAAATCTGGTCGAAAGGCGGCGTCTATACCAATAGCCAAGGAGATGCAAGCATGCAGTGGATCTGCGAGCGCCAGACAAAGTGCGGGGCGACGAGAGCGTGGCAGTGACGGGGTGTGGGGTGGGAAGGAAAGAAAGAGCGAACGGATGTTGATTGTGAGCGGGACCAAAAAGAAGCGCGGGTTCGCGAAAGGACGTGCAAGGGTCCGAGCGGGCGTCCCCTCGAGATCGCGCCTCAAACGCGCGAACCCCTGCCACCGCCAAACGTCACAGACAGGCCGCCGCCGCCGCCGCCGCCGCCCCGGCCTTGGCGCGCCGTGTTAGTCCGTGCGCGAGGCAGCCAGCCCGCGGCGAGCGGAAAGTGCAGTGCACTCCTGCCCTCCTCCATCCAACAGTCCCAGCTCCGAAAAGTGAACATGACTTCGCGAAGAATTGTCTCGACCGAGAAGACGCTCCTGGATCAGGATGATCCTGCAGCTGCCCCGGGCATGGGTGCGCCACAGGGTGACAGCAACATCGCGCCCGCTGTTCCTGCGTTCGTATACCTTTGCCCCTCCACAAATCCCCATTGCATCTTCTTATGCATCTCACTTGCATGGTTGCGTCCATGCAAGCGAGTGACAAACAATCTGTCGCGCCCCGCCCATGATCGTCGTCCCGAAGAAGTTGAACATCACGGCGTTTGCTGACAGCCGCTTCTTTCCGCGAACCGCAGGCACGTCATCTTCAAGTTGCTCGGCTTCACGTTTGCCATGATCACGCTACCCATCGGCACTTACTTCGTGACCGTCAACACCATCTTCAAAGGTTTGTCGCTCCCTCAAACTGTCCCTGTTCGAACACAAACAAAGTGAACAACACACTACCCGTCCAACTCGCTGACATTGTGCAAGGAAACTCGACCTTCGCCGGTGGCCTTGCCGCGGTTATGGCGAACGTGGTGCTCATCGGCTACGTCATTGTTGCCATGAAGGAGGACCAGTCCGACAGGCTGGAGGCGGAGGCGGAGGCAAAGAAGGGAAGATGAAAAGGCTTGAGCCACGCAACCCGTCATCCTTCAAGACTCATGGAGTCGGAGGGATGTACAGGCGACACGGTGTTCGGGGTTGTACAAAACAACAAAAGCAAGTTATGAATCCGCCCAAATAAAATAAAAAGTTGCTTCTGGCGGGCTTGCACACGATGACATGGTAAGGTCGCTATAAACTTGATAACCCCAATACTCACACGCTCACCCGTGGGAAGATGGTTCTAATAGCAATAAGTCGCTCATCATTACGAGCTTTGAGAAGATCGCATTCAAGCCGTGATGTGCTGGTGATGATCGTGCTGATTGCCATGATGGCGATCCGGCGGGTTGATAATTTGCACGCTTTTGAGATTGATCATTCACAACCCATCCTTAAAACTGTATAAACCTCGGATGAATGTGCAGCTGTAAAGAGGTTTGCGCCTACTTTGTCCGTAGGTGGTTGAAGTAGTCTGCTATGTACAAATGTGGGCTGAAGTTGTTTTTGCAGGCAGTTGCCAATTACTTTACGGCCCTCTGTGAAGGGAGGCACAATTGCATGTCCTGCTTTCTGCTGAGAAGACTTTGGTGGATCTATGCTTATACAAGACGTACTTCAAGTTCGTCTCGTCTTATGTAGCGTTTGGTTAAAGTGAGTGCCTAAATATAAAAGTGTGATTAGATTGTCTTAAGAACATTCGGACATTGCGTATAAGCTAGGCGTCAGATCTCACGTTTACAAAAGTGCATATGCACACAAGTAGAAAACGAAAAACATCGCATTTCAGGCTCGTCTTGCTTCGTGACAGCATCCTGCCTCCCTCGACAATTTCGTCTTCCAAACTAACAATGACCCAAAGGGGGAAATGATGCCAAGCAGAGGGGATGCATCGTGATTATATATCTATGAAAAAAAGTGAATTCTCAGCCGGCGAAAGGCAAAGAGGAGCCATTCATAGCCAAAACCTCCGTATTATGAACCAGAACCAAACTCAAAGAACCATACTGAAGAGTTGAGGCTCAAAGTCGGCCTACTTTCCTGGGGTCTTTGACGAGCCAAGGTTCCAAATTCCTGTACGCCCCATCACCCGTCGTCCAGAAGGGGTTCTTATGTTGTATGCCCAAAACGCCAACAGGTAATGCAAAAAAACCCCGGGAATTTGATGTTCGTCAAGCCATTAGTTTCCCCCGCACAGCAGAAGGTCATTAATCCTCCGACAAGCCACGATATCGAGAAGCGTAAAAAACCATGGCGACCGGCAAACCCATGACAAATCACCTACTCCTTGCTGAACCGCCTCTTGAACCAACTCTTTCTCTTGTCACCGTCGCCATTGGCAACCGGGCGGCGAGCAGGAGCAGCCGCAATCGGTTGCTGTGGCGGACCGTCGCCCATCTTCGGTGTCCCGCTGACGCTGTCGTGCTGGGGTACCGGCGGCAGCGGCGCCTGGTTCTTGCTAAAGTGTGTCTCGCCAACTGCCGGCGCTCCACCGTAACCTTGTTGGTCATAGTAGCCGTTGGAGTTGTCGTAACCGTCCGCAACCGGGCTTCCACCAAAACCATTGAAGCCATACTGCTCGCCCACGTCAGGCTTCTGAACCGGAGGCATCCTCTCAATGGAGCTGTTCTCGCTGCTCGGATCGGTATGGTTGCCGTAAGCCTCGCCAGAACTGTTCGAGAAGCCGGTGTTCACCGTGTCGCGGGACTGCTGGTACGAATGGCTCGGGTAGAGGCCCTGGTTGTGCGCGGGCGGGCGCGGGGGCATCATTTCTTGCTGAAGACGCTGACCAAAGCGGTTGCGGCCGGGGCCGGCGACAGGAGTCGGCATGTAGGCATCCTCAGCCGGGCGTGGAGAAGTGGGGTTGCGACCACCGTAGTAGCCTCCACCGCCATAGCCGTTGGCGGTGCTGCTGGAGTAACGATTGTTGCCGTTGCCTGCATACGATGAAGCCAAAATTAGCATGTGATCAGCGCGCGGGAGCGTCAAAAAATAATGTGGTTGGGAGTCGATCGGCATGCCAAGACGGGCCACGCGGGAGGCGGCAGCGATCTTCCATGGCCTGACTGTGCCGTGGAGGGCCTCAGGTGCCGCGTTTGAAGCAACGCGTTGGATGCGATTCCACGCGGGCATGATTAAAGGGTCGTCAGGGCTGAGACATTGGTGTTTCACGTACCTCCGTAATAGCTGCTCCGGCGACTCGTGTAACCGCTGAAGTCGGCGACGGATTCGACGTCTGCGTGATGTCAGCAAGGAATGGACGGCACAGGAGGCCTCAGGTGATCTCACCAGTTCGTGCACCGCCCGTCCTCCGCTTGTATTCGCCGTCAATCTGCGCTTCGAACTTGCGAATCGTGTCAAGAGGGCGCTCCCAGCGAGAGCGAGTAGGGTTAGACAGATCGGGTTCGGCTGAGCAGGCGCGAAGTTAGCCTAATTGGACTCGTGGCGCGCTCTCAACTCGGACAAGAAGGGAGACTCACGAATGGGCGAGCCGTCAACGTCGGTGTGGGCTATGGCACGCAGCGATCCCATGGTGGGGGCCTCGAGGGCGGCAGCGACTGTTGAGGGGTCATCAGCGGGACATTCCTGGGGGGGCTGGGGCGGGCGCGCAACGCACTCGGCTGGGCTTCTTCCATGGCGGCGTTGGGGTTGGCTTTGGAGGTGCCGCTGAGCTGTCTCCTGTGCTTTTCGGCGTTGGACTCGTGGAGGTCCTTGATCTTGGGGCGATGAACTCTGTCGGAGCCATGGCTCTTATCGCTCTTGTCGCTCTTGAAGCTAAAGCCACTCTTGGAGCGCGGACGCTGGTTCGTGTGGTACTCCATGGCGGGCGTTTGTGCGGATCGGGCAATTTCAGCTGCAGTGGAAGGCCCGAAGGACGGGAAAAATTGGGCCTGGCAGGCAAGGCGGTGTTGGTTTAATGAAAATAACGGCCAAAGCTCCGGGCAGCGCGGGCGGGAAACGGCAACGCGAGCAGCTATCAGCGACCAAGCGAGAGATAGCGGCCGGGCTAAGCACCTGGACAGTGCAGCTGGAGCCGGGGCGGTGCGATGGATGCGACGGGCGGATGGACGCGAGGGCGCGGGCCAAGGGTCGGGTGAGCCGTGCGGTGGAGAGGTGCAGGTGTTGCAGCGAGCGAGACGGCGGCAGTTGAAGAAAGACGGAGGTGAGAGAGCGAGGAAGCGACGCGTGGGCGAGGTTGGCACAAATATGGCGGCCGTCGGTTGGTCGACGGCTGGCGTGCTTTTTTGCTGGCGCCAGCGCTGGCACAGCCGCCCATTACGACGCATTCGATCTACAGCCCGGCCGGAAGCACGGGAGCTGTCCACACCAAGCCGCCGCGCCCAGTGCGACCTTGGGCGCCACGGGCGAGCATGGTGCAGCTTGCCAGGCCGCCGGCTGTTCGCGGCGCCCTGCTGCGGCGCCCTGCTGCGGCGCCAGGACAGGCGGGCAGCGTGCCCGTGGCGATAAAAATAACGGCCGCCCCCGACCCTGCCTCGCCTGCTGCGTTTCCTGCGCCGATCTCTCACCTGTGATGCCATGGGCTCGCACGTCTCGCACGTCTTGGAAGGCGACGGAAAGAAGCTTTGGCAGCGCCAGCACAGACGGCCTCAGCCTCACGCCACGACGCCCGCCGCTCCAGGCTGCGACGAAGAGGGCAAGAAGGTCGAAAGTCGGTGACGCGACCTTGCGACAGCTGGCGTGGCCGCTCCTTGCTGCCACACTACTCTCCTGCCTTCCATCCGATGTGAAGCACGCCGGCAACCACTCCGAGCACTGGATGCGCAGGCGCTGCTCGCTATTGGCGCGCGGCGTCGACGAGGCCTGCGACGATGTCATTGTTGCGGGGAGCCACGCCAACGCTCTCCTCCCGCACCGGCGATGGAGCGCCGATCGCGACGTAGCTGGCCGCCTCGCGTCCCAGCCAGCTGTGCCCACTGCTCGTTCCCGCCGACATGCATTTCTCTCTCACCCCCATGCTGACGAGCTTAGATAAGGTGCGCATTCGCCTTGGCGAGTCGGTGGCGACTGCGCCGGCCGCATGCGACTGTGCATTCCTCGCTCCGCAGTTACGAGGGCTGCACACCGACAACACCGCGTGCGTGCGGCCTGTTTCCCCAGTTCCCGCCCTGGTTGCAGCCAGGGATCCCGGCTCAAACACTGCTTCGGTCTCGACCGATCTGAACGACGGACGCCCGTTGGCAAGGCCAGTCGCACCATGCAGGGCTTCCTGTCTCAAGATACAAAGAAGCCAGCTCTTTGTTCCCGCCGCACCGCTGATGGACAGCCCAAGGTTGTTTTCCGCCGCCGATCCTGGAGAAGCGCTTTGTTTCCTTCCACGCCCGCCCCATCTCCTTTCCTGATCGCCCGTGTGCCGAACGCATCGCTGCACATCGTCTTGCACGCTCACCGTCGGCGACCATCGAAGATCAGCTCTCCTATCGTCGCATGACCCCGGCGCCGATCATAATTCATATATTGCCTCCACTCCACCCACTCCCGCAACAGCTAGCTCGTGGATGCCGAAAGCGAGATAGTGCGACGGCGGGAGCCGGAAGATGGTGGGTTCCGTAAAGCGTGGACACAAGACTGCGCCGCCATGATGCGTCGCTCGGCCGATAAGAGACCAAGTGCGCGCTGATTTTAAGCCGACTACGGAGTCTGGATCAGGCCATGTGTGTCGGCTGTCAGTGGCCTGCTCCACAACAGCCGCACGTTCACGACAACACGCCGAGCCACCCCTATTTTTACAGTCCTCGGTCCCTGTGTGGATCTTTGTTAAAGGAGAAGACGCGATTCACTGAATCTCAGCAGACCGACTGTTTGAGTCGCAATTGTCATGGTCAGTAGCCATTGGCGGATCTCAGCACATGATGGACAGCAGCAGGCCACGAAGCCCGTAGACGCTCTACTACTACGCGCCGTGCACGCCGTCCCAGTCGATCGGTTGACAATCCAGTTTGTTCGATTCGTCCTGGGCCGGCCCGCCGAAGCCCGATGTGCAGGCCCACGTCCCGCGCTGACCGCACCCGCTTGACCCACAAACTTCCACGTCCGAGTCAGTGCGTGTCCCAGGCGACGGAACATACGGAAAGCAGCACCAGGCACAGGCACAGGCACTGCACTGCACATGCTTGATCGTGGAGCTCCCGACGTGGTGGCCACCGTTATTCTCGCCTGAAAATGTAGGTAGTCGACATTCTGGGGTTTCGGCACAGCAAGAGCCGGATGCGCAGGCGTAGACGGCGGACAAAACGCGTTGGAAGCGCCTGGATCTGGCCTGTCTGCGGGAGACTGCGGACAACCGCTTTTGCACATGGACGCATGAAGGATTTGTACACACGGGCAGGTCCGAGATGTCTTGTGGTGCGGGAGGCCGACCCGCTCCGGATTCACCGTTCCGGATTCACCGTGCACGGAAAAAGAGCAGGGATGGCCTGGCCGTAGTATGAGCAGAAGGTGAGGCCAGCAGTAGTGCTGGCGGAACTACTTGGTGCGTTGCGAGATCGTCATATGATGATCCTGGATGATGCGGAGAGTGGAGGCGGATGCTGCTGATCCCCCAGTGCTCTGGACCGTTTCGATCAGGATCTGGTTGGTGGTGCGCGCCGACGCATCTTGGCTTGATGGTAAGCTCGGTTCAAGTCGATGGCGTCACCGTTTTCTTTTTTTCTTTTTTCAGATTGCTGTGGCTGGGGGATGCTACACTTTTCTTTGCCATTACTACCGTTAGGGAAGGAATTAGGATTATTGAAGCAGGTATCCGGGTGTCAATGCTGTCTCTTGCCATCTTCTTGCATAGGCACTCGAAGCAAATAGCTGACATGAAAGCTCTCTCTGTTACTCTCTCCACGTGAGCAACTAAAGCAAGTATGCAGCTGGACATGGATATAGTGACTATCACTCTTTCTGCCTGGGCAGCTGAAGCCAATGCCCGGAGCTTAGGTAGGTTGCTCATGTGTTTTGTTTCTTGGTTTCTTAGTTCATCCTTTTCCTTGCTTTTTCTTCGGTCCGCGGGTTATCTGTTTAAGGTTCAAGCCACAAATTGAACGCACCCCACTTTTTTGTCTTGTTGGATTTTAGAGACAGGAGCCAAAAAAGTGTCCGGTGCTGGGACGGCGTGGCTTGGCAAGGCGGGTGGGCAGATCGTTGACGCAAGTGCAAGCAGTAGCTTGTCTGCTAGTGCAGCTGCGTTGTGCGATTCCAAGTGTGCCGTTGTGTGTGCGACGGGGGCACGAGGGAATAATAATATGTCGCATGCTAAGACATGAGGGCCCCGATGGAGATAAGGGTGGTGTGTTTGCCGTATGCTGCAAAGCATCTGAAAAGCCTATCGTCGAGACGTGCATGTTGCTCGATCTAGATGCATATTGGTGCAACTCTTCTTCGGTGCATCCGAAGAGTCATTTCCACTACTGGGCAGGGGCGTTGATGCAAGCTGCGGACCTTACAGTCCTGTGCATAAGTGCTGCTCGAGGACGCAAGTCGTCCTGTCGTGTCCTGGAATGTCGAGGCTTGTATCCGCTGACCGTTGCATGCTGCATGCCGGTGCCTTTTTCGTTTTTTTTCCTTTTGCTCGGTGAGCTGTTGGCACTTTCATGTAGCCTCTCGCTGTTCATGCGCTTGCGGGGCGAGTCGTCGGGTCTATGATTGGCGCTTGCCCATCCGCGACGGAACATCATCACCGCCCTCACATCTCCGTCGGTCAAGCATCGGCCAGGCATTCGTGAATAGGACCAGAGCATGTTGAGATGAGAAAGGCTTATTGGCCTGTGCCTGGAGTAAGTGGGATACCGCGCGATATCTCGATAAGCCCCGCCTCACTCGGCGCCCCGCTGCCAACGTCGAGTGCCCCTCATCGAATTCAAGCGTGGGGATAAAATGGCAAAAAACCCGCCAACGCACGAACCGGCCACCGACAACACCACTCCTCCTCCAACAATGACAATGCCATCCGACGAAGAAACCCCGATCCCCCTCCCCTCGGCCCCCCCTCAGCCCCTCACCCCCAACACGACCCTCCAACTACCCCTCTCCCGCCGCGGCCGCGGCCCCGGCCTGATCCTCGTCGCCGATGCCACCTTGCCGCTCGGCCCCGCCGGCGAGGAAAAGACGCTGGATCCGCCACCGCTGCAGAAGTGGGCGGAGGAGGGGTATGCGGTCGTGCAGATTGTACTGCGTGAGGGGGATGGTGAGGAGGCGTTTGAGGAGGATTTGGGGCGCGCGTGCGCGGCGTTGGAGGGATTGGAGGAATGTGTGAGGGAGGAGGATGCGGGGTATGGGGTTATCGGTGAGTGGGTTTTTGGGTCTTGAGTTGGGTTGTTCAAGGGCGCGGGCTGTGACGAGATTTGACTACTGCAATATCTCTGTGAGGCAGCCAGGCAGGCGGGCATGCATGGGCTCAATTCCTTCCCGCCAACCAACCTGCTGTGGGAGTCACGCATTAAGAAAACGAGAAAACCCGATCTCACACCAACTAACATCCCCCAAACAGCCTACTCCCCGCTCCCCGCGCGCGCACACGAGACCTTGACCGCAACAACCCCCCGCATCGCCGCCATCATCAACTACTCCACGACCCCCATCCCAGCCCCTCCCTCGTCCTCTCCTCCTCCCCCCATCCCAACCCTCTGGCACCTCGCCGGCCCCACCTCCACCACCACCACCCCAACAACAACAACAACCCACGCCTACCCCACCGCCTCCGCGCACTTCCCTCTCCCCGCCCACACCGCCCACCACCCCCCCTCCGCCTCCCTCTCCCACACCCGCACCCTCACCTTCCTCAAACCGCTCCTGCACGGGCCCATCTTCGACCTCGAAGCCATCTGGGCCGAGCACTGCCTGTACGAGTTCGGCGAGCGCGCCGTCGCCAAGACGATGGCGACGATGGTCAACGAGCCCTACGTCAACCACATCCCGACCATGACGGGCGGCGTCGGGCGGGCGCGGCTGACGGCGTTTTATCGCAATCACTTCGTGCACAGCAACCCGCCGGACACGCGGCTGGAGCTGGTGGGGCGGGTGGTCGGGGTCGATCGCGTGGTGGATGAGTTTGTGTTTGCGTGCACGCATGATCGGCGGGTGGATTGGCTGTGAGTTTTTTTTTTTGGCTTTCTTTTTTTTTCTTTCTTGTTTTTTTTTGGGGGGGCGGGGAGGGGAGGTGCTGATGATGATGTATGCGTACTGATTGATTGCTTAGGGTGCCGGGCGTCCCGCCTACTGGGAAACCGCTGGAGGTGCCGTTCACCGCCATCGTGAATGTTCGCGGGGACAGGCTCTACCATGAGCATATTGCGTGGGACCAAGCTACGCTGCTGAGGCAGCTGGGTCTGCTCCCGGAGGTTCGTGATCTGCTTTCTCTGTTTTTTTCTTTCTCTTCTTTTTTTTTGCCACATATCCGATGCACTCCTTGATAAAGGGGAGTCTTCACCGCTTTGCTGACGTTCATGGTGATGATTGTAGTACCTGCCTTTTCCGTATCTGGTGGATGGAAAGGCTCCTGCGCCGGGGAAGAAGTTTGAGTATCGTGTGCCGGTGGCGGGCGTGGAAACGGCGAGGAAGCTTGTTGACGAGAACTCGGTGCAGTCGAACGAGATGTTCAGCTACGGTATCAGAGAAGTTGATGCGTAAGCGGTAGGGTCGGTGTAGTACAATCAAGCCTTCATCTACAACAGTAAGTACGCGGACGTCGATGTAGGTCTAAGCAACGTTTCTCCATGAGCACTTGAAGAAGATATCCTGATGTAGATGTGAGTATTGCATCCAGATATGGAATTCCACTCGTAGTCCAAGTGGGTCGATTTCGTTCGGGACCTCCGGCGGAAGCGGAAGCGGAACTCCGTCGGAGCATCGTGAGCACCCACCGCCTACCCCCGCACCGAAAACCCTCACTCCTTCGAAGCTGCTGCTCCAAACCACTCACCTCTACGGTGTCTCATTCTCCAACCGTCTCTCTTGTACATTACCCCCGGCTATTGCCTCACAAGTATTTTACCCGTCATATGCTTACTGCAGCCGGGCCTCCACCCAAGTGACTTGTTCCGAGCTAGTGTCGCGCCCCTCCTTAGGGCTTACGAAAGAAGAAGAATGCCGGGGACGAAGACAATGACGATGGCGCCGCGGGGCCCGACTCGCCTGCAGCTCAGCCTCCAACACGCTGCAGCAGACCGTGAGGGCGGCTCGCCGTCTGTGGGACAGTGGATCCAGTCCCGGAATGTGGAACTGGCGCGAAGGGTCGCGGGGTTGGGCGGTGATGTATGTGCTGTACTTTTCTTCACTCCTCTCACCCCTCTCGTTGCCTTTTTTTCCTCTTGTTTTCTCTTCATCTTTTCTCTAGTTTGAGTCCTCAAAAGCAGACGTCGGCGCTGCAATGCTCTGATGCTTGTTGCCATCAGTGAAGGAGCGGGCCCGACACACATTCTCTCACTTTTCCCATGTTCCCCGCTATATATATATAACGGCTACTTGGTAGCCTCTATGCAACCTACAGCGGTGCTGACTTCCTTCCTCCGGGCCGATCAGTTCGTCATCATCGATTGCGAGCGCGGCCACATCAACACAGCCGCCGACCTCTCGCCCGTCGTCGAGGCCGTGGCAGCCGCGGGCGCGTCGCCCATCGTCCGGGTGCTCGCGAGCGAGCCGAAGCGCATACGATGGGCGCAGGACAGCGGCGCCCACGGCGTCATGGTCGCCATGTGCGAGACGAAGGTGAGTCCCAGCCCAGCCCCCTGACCTCTCTCTCTCTCCGTCTCTCTTTCTCTCTTTCTCTCCCCCAAGCTGACTCACCCGGTGCCTCCCCCCAGACACAAGCCGAACGCGCCATCGTCGCCACCGGCTGCCCCTCGCCCCGCTTCGTCGTCATCGCCGAGATCGGCTCGCGCCGCGCCGTCGACAACATCGACGCCGTAAGCCCCCACCCACATTTCTCCCCTCTCCCCCCCATCCCTTTTCCTTCGACCCGAAATCCTCAACGCAGGCTAACACCGCACCCATCATCACCACCACCAACAGCTCTTCCTCAACCCCCACCCCCTGATCGTTAACTCCCCCAGCGCCGCCGCATCAGCAGACGATGACGCGGTGCGGATCCTCGCCGCCGCGCACAGGCACGCCAAGTTCGCGGGCCACGTCTCCGTCGCGGCGGGCATCATGGGCACGAGCACGGGCGCGGATGCGGACGCGGGCACGGGCGCGGGCGCGGACGCGGACGCAAACGCGCTGGTCGGGCGCCGCGGCTGGCAGTTTGTGAGTTGCGGGGCGGTTGGTCAGCTGCCGCCCGCGGACGAGGAGATGGAGATGGAGATGGAGCGGTTGGGGAGGGCGATGCTGGGGGTGAGGGCGAGCCGTGGCGGCGGGCGGTGGGGGTCGTCGGGGCCGGCGCCGGTGCCGGTGCCGGTGCCGGTGGGAGGGGGGGAGGAGTATGAGTGGGATGGGAGGGATTGGGGGTGATTGTGATTGTAATAATATATATTATTTTATATGATGATAAACGATGATCGTGATGATGAGGGTGTGGGTGAGGGTGTGGGTGAGGGTGTGGGTGAGGTGTAGGTATGGGGTTAGAGTCGGAGTTAGGGTTAGAGCTGGAGTTGGAGTCGGAGTTAGGGTTAGAGTTAGAGTTGGAGTTAGGATTAGGGTTAGACTTAAGGGGGGGTTTTTTTTTTCTTTTCCTCGGCCCTTTAGGCGGCTTGTTCTACGGGCAGTGGATCGAGTCCTATGTCTGGATGCGTATCACCATCTACATTGAAAAAAAAAAAAGCAAGCTCCCCAGCAATCAGCCAGCTACGTACGTCCGTCCGTCCGTCACACTCACAGCTTCGCCGCCTCCCTCAAGACCTCCCTCGTGAGCACGTCGCCCTTCTTCCGCTCGGGGCTGAGGCGCCCCATGCGCAGCAGCCGGGCAATCATGTCCTCGTCGCCAAAGTGCGCGTTGTGCTCGAAGCGCGGCTCCTCGTCGTACGCGACCCGCGCCGCGTCGACCAGGATGCGCGCCGTCATGCCGAACACCCTGAACGTGTCGCCGCCGTCAGTGTCGTCATCGGCGGCGGCGGCTTCGTTTCCCCCAGCAGCAGCAGTACCACCACGACCCCCAGCACTAACCCCCTCACCCTTCGCCCTCGCCCCCTTCGCCCCCTTCGCCTTTGCCTTCGCCTCCTCTGTCCCCGCCCCCGCCGCCCCCTTCGCCCCCGACACAGGCGCAGGCACATAAAAATTATGCATCCTCCACCGACTCTCGTGCCAATCCGTCCACTGGCCGCGGTACCAGGGCGCGGGGAAACCGGCGGCCTCGACGCCTGCTTCGGCTTCGCCCGCGCTCGCCGACACCTCGCCGTCGGCGAGCAGGAAGCCGCGGAAGGGGGCGGTGAAGACGGCGGCGACTTCGTGGGGGGAGAGGCGCGGGATGAGGATGTCTTCGGCGGATGGCGGGGGCGGGGACGAAGGAGAGGGACTACTGCTGGTGGTGGTGGAGGAGGAGGGGGAGGGGGAGGAGGAGGACGACGAAGAGGAAGAGGAGGACGAGGGGGAAGAAGAAGAAGAGGTTGGCGCGCGGTCGGCGGCTAGGAAGGCGACGCACGGGCGCACGGCGAGCTCGGTGCGGGCGAGGTTGGCGGGCATCTGGCACAGGTGCTCGACGCGGAAGGGCGGCGGCAGCTTGGCGTCGTGGAGCGGCAGGCCGATTTCCTCCCACGCTTCGCGGCGGGCGGTCTGGAAGGGGGTTTCGGCGAGGGCGTCGGCGCGGCCTGGATAGGGAGGGAGAATGGTAGGTTGAGTGAGTGAGTGAGTGAGTGAGAGTGGATTGATTCTCTGGCTTCTTTTCTTGGTTTTTTTTTCTGCGTGGACATGTGTGTGGTGGAGGGTGTTTGGTTCTTGCTTTCTTTCTATCCTCTCTTTTTCTTTTCTTTTCATTTCTTTCTTTTCTTTTGGGGGTAGCAATGAGCGGGATGGTGGGCTTACCACCAGGAAGTGCGGCGTGGCCGGCGTAAGTATTCATGCCAGCGGCGCGCATGGTCAGCACGACGCGCAAATCGCCGCGCTTGTCGGCAAACAACAGAATCAGCACAGCGGCGCGACGGGCGAGCGGGACGTTAAAGTATTGGGTCGGCGGAGGCTTGTAGGCGCGGAGGCGGGCGAGGGCCGCCTGCGAGATTGATGGCGGATGTCAGTTCATTTGGACAGATGGTTCGAAGTCGCGGGGGAGAGAGGGGTTGCAGTACCGCGGAGGCGGGAGTGAGGGTGGCCATGGCAGCAGACGGGCGTTGTTGCCATGATGGTCGTCGTGGGTGGTGGTGAGCACGCACTTGTCATTGATGTCACACACGTGGGACGTGCGGGAATCCGGGGCGGGCGCTTTGGGTTGCGGGGACCTCGGCTCACCATCATCAGCTTCCCCCGGCTCAAGTTGCCGCTTGATATCATTAATTATTGACGTCTACCACAGCATCATCAGCTCCCCCCGGCTCGGGTTGCCGGTTTAATTATTGCTATATCAAGGCCTGGCCTCCGACTCAAACGGCAGCGCCGGATCCCACCAAAACGTCGTCTTCTCCTCGCCGTCCGGCACCGTCCCATCCGTCACATTGCACACCTCCCTGAACCCGCCCACCGCCTCCAGCTTCTCGCTCAAAATCTCCGCATACCTTTCCAACCCACAGCTCCTCCCAGGCCCATCCTCACACCCCCGCACCGGATACACAGCATCATTCAACTTGACCCTCACAAACACGCCCTCCCCCCCGCAATTCAGCCTCTCCAGCCCCACCGTCCCCCTCATCGTCACGAACCGACTCGCGCGAAAAACCCTATCCGCCACCACCCCACCCGACGGCAGGTCGTCCAACCCGTCAAACACCCCCACCGCCGCCGCCACCTGACTCACCTGCCCATCATTCGTAAACGCCGCCATCAGCGGCGGCGGGGTCCAACTCTCGCCGTCGCTCCCCACATACGCCGTGCCCGGCCCGTCCGCGAACCTCCCCACGATCCCCTGCACCACCGGCACCATGGCCGCGCGCGCCACCGCGCTCCCCGGCCCCACCCCGTACCAGTACCGCAGGTCCTGCGCGTATTCGTACTGCAGGAACTCGTCGCGCGTCAGCGTGTCGCACCACGGGGAGCGGCGCGTCTGTCCCCCCGCGATCTGCGACTCGAACCCGCAGAGGTAGGCGAAGATGCCGACGTCGGAGGGGGTGAAGACGAGCTGGTCGCCGTCGCCGTCGCCGCCTGGGTTGAGGAGGGCGTTGATGCGCGCGGTGGCGGGGCCGAGCCAGGCGGCGTCCCACGCGGCTTTTTGGGCGCCGCCGCCGTTGTCGGCGTAGGCGGGGCAGAGGTTCGACGTGGCGAGGCTGTTGGCGAGGGAGCGGGGGTCGGTGCCGTTGACGACGAGGATGCGGCTGTCGGAGAGGGTGGTGGTCGCGTTCGGGCCGAGGTAGCCGCGGGCGAAGAGCTGGGCCGAGTTGAGGACGCGGGGGGAGGAGGCGTACGCGTTGGCCCAGAGGGTGAAGGGGGCGCTGGGGGGCAGGAAGGAGGAGGGGTAGTAGGAGCGGTAGCGGGAGCCCATGGCGAGGAGCTCGTCGTGGCCGGTGGGGGAGAGCTGGCCGATTTGCGTCGAGGGGGAGGAGAGGATGGGCGTCCAGGTGTGGAGGAATTGGAGCGAGGTGGCGTTGGTGGTGAAGGTGGCGTTTTTGATCTGCGGGGGGTTTTGGCGTTGGTAAGTGCTGGCATTCTCTTTTCGGTGTGAATGAGGAGGTATGTATGCGACTGTTGCAAATATGGACAACATCTCATGTGCCACATATCCGCGCAGTCACACACAGAGAAAAGGGATAGCAAAACTTGTTACCTTCGCCTCCAGAGCAGTCCACTCGGCATACGCTCCCGCATCGGGATAACGGCTGCCATGACGGGATATGAAAGCGGCTTGATCAACGGTGCAACCCTCAGGAGGTGACGGATCGATGCCGAAGACGTTGGGTCCTGGTTGAATCATTAGCTGAAACCCTTTTCGTCTTGACAAGCGGGTTTTCCAACCGGCGAACCACTGTCCGTTTCCCCCAACATGTTCCAAGGGATTGAACCCCTGTTCACCGCTGACGACAGTGCTGAAGACGGCAGCGGCCGTTGCCGCGCCAAGTGCTGAAGCCTTCATGGCGGAAGAAACGCGAAAGAAGAACGATTGCACGCAAGCGAGCGGGAGAAGAAGCGCGTCGACTTTATCATGAGAGCTCCTCGCGGCTCTTTATAATTTATCCTGTTGCCGGAGCCCTGCATGTCGGCAGCGCGGAAATGAATCGTACGCTGATTTCGGCGATTCGGCCGGTGAATGTTTTCCCAGGATAAGTGGACGGGGGGCGTTACCTAAACCGCCCAAGGCGATGGCTTGACGATGCGCGCAGGGATCATGTCGGGCACGTGTCTACCATGATTGGACGACAGAGGAAAGGACAGTGGTAAATCTGTCACCCCTCGCGGAAGCCTCGGTTATGGAAATGGAAGGATTATCGCATGTTCCCTTGGTACTATAGCTAAGCGGGCAGGCTCCATGGTAGCTTCGTTATAGTGTTGCTAATGGGCTTTGTAGGCTGTTATGGTTAACGACAGGATGCAGACGTGTATTTAAAATTAGACATCGGACATAGACTTTAACTGTCCCACATGGTCAGATTCAATACGAAGATTTCTTTCTTGGGAGACTATGGTCAAACGGATTATAGAAGGCTAATTTAAGGACACGGCGCTAACTTAGTAGTATAGACTTGGCATAAGGCGAGTTGCTTGTCTTAGTTACGGTTGCAACCGCAACTAACGCACTAGGATAGAGAATTTAGTCCGCATCGACATAGGTAGTGGAAGAAATCGTCTAGATCAAATGCTAGTTTTCCAAGTCCTTATACGTGTAACGTAGGTCGCAGAAAGAATTGTCCAGACGTAAATGTTTATTTTTCAGGGCCTTCTACGTAGGTAATTGAAGCAAGTATCCAATCGTAAATATAAGCATCAAGTCCAGACAAATGCATCCAGATATCAGATTCGACTGCCCACTCAAGCTGGGTGCAGCGTCAAGGTGAGATGGACGTAGGTAGGCTCGGTTCTTTTAAAACCTTCCCAACTCCTTCTGCTAACAAAACACCAGCACCACAAACAAGACACGAAATCACAATACCTGAGCAAATCCCACCGAGACAAAAAGATCTCTATTGCTACGTCCCGCAACTGCCACAACCCACATCCACGCAGCAGGATCATCTAGGTTAGAAAGAAAAAACCCAACTCAACCCACCCACCAGCTGCATGATCAAACTCCCCAGCAGGAACAAAAACCCCAAGCCCCATGGCCCCCGCCACCCTTTCTATCGTTGAAGCTAGCAAAAGGTTCGTTCGTCCGTCCCCCATGCCATCCCGCCCGCCGGCGCGTGAGCTGTTTTAGATCCACCGTCTTTTTGAGTCGAATAAACCTCCGTCCGCGCAATGAGAGAGAGATGAGATGATGCAATGTAAATGACCACACCTCCTTTTTTCAATCTTATTCCCTCGCTAAAGTATACTACTCTGTGCCGCCTCCTTGAGAACAAAACGAAAAGATCACGTTGAATGACGATCGGAGGGGGGGAGGAGCGATTCGGTCGAGGGGCGATGGAGGGCAAGGATCAGGTGAGCAAAGCATGTCTAGGCTTGGGGCCCGAGAAGCTCCGAGAAGAACGCAGGGGTGGTATTGAGGTGTTTCGTGGTGGAGAAGGTGTGTGGAGGTGCGGGGAGGAAGCAAGGCTCTCGGAAGCCCCCCAATCGTAGCGGCAGAATCCAGCAGTAGTGTCGCGCGCACGCTCTTCACTTGCTGTTGGTTAAGCTAACGCCCTTGATGCGCTTAGCAAGTCGTTCGCTGTCGGATGCCGGGTTGCTCGTTGAAGAGGATTGAGACTGACCACCGCCGTTGCCACCGCTACCGGTGCCGTTCGCAGCACCCATCTTGCGCTTGCGGCTGGTGGGCGGCCCAGACGGAGTCGATGGAGAAGGGGCAAAGGATTGAGAATGCGTGCGCTTGGATGGTTGCTCACCAGTCTCTTGGAGGATCGTCATCAGTGTCGCCCATCCTGGCGTGTGCTGAAGCTGCGATCCCTCTGATACATCGTGCTCTGCGGCAACCCGACACAGCAATGCTTCCTCGTCCTGCAGAAAGCGCATTAGTCCAAACGCGACCCAGAACAGCTCGCAGGTACCTTACCTTGCTCAGAATGCCCAACCCATGGACGAAGTTGAGGAGGTGGAAGTCGGCGAACTTGCCGATGCTCGTGGGGTCGGAGAGTTGGGGACCGCCTGCCTTGGCATTCAACTGCTTGGAAAGCGCCGTGACTTCCTGGCTGACGCCCAAGACCTCTCTGTTCTCGACAGGGAATCCTGTTGATGCAAACTTAGGGTTGGGGTTGGTTGGGAAACCGTGAGTAAGTGTGACAAAGAGATACTCCACCGGGAAGGCTGGCTTTGCGTTCTCCTGCACGTTGGCCCCGTATTCGTTTACCCGCCGGTAGAAGACTTCGGGGATGTAGCGAGAGCGGCCAAGCTTGTTCTCCTCCTCCTCGTTCTGCACCAACATAACAGTCGGGTCCGCCGATGGCTCGACGATATCTGCTTTGACCATCTCCACGGCCGCGTTCGATGCTTGATAGGCCGAGATGGCAATCTGACCCGCGTCATCCCCGCTCACGATGCAAGTAACGAAGTTGGAGCCGAAGCGACCAGTCTCGCTCCACTTGGACGGCCGGGGAAATTTCGCCTGATACCTCGCGGCGAAGCACGTCTCAAGCGAGGAGAGGAAGTAGGAATCCGCATGTCGTTTGCAAATGACGGATCCATCACCTGCGCCTGCGTCCAGCAAATCCGTGAAGATGACACCGATTCTTTCCAAGCCACACAACCTCGCGACTTCGTCAACCTCCTTCTCGTTCTCCCAGTCATTGAGTGAGATGCCATCCATTTCCCCCACCTGAGGCGGCTCGTATATCGCTTCCACGACGGCCTTGGTACCCAGAGGCACCTCGGTGTATTCTTGGTACGTCCCATACAGGAAGCCTAATCTCTGGCATCCGGAATTCCGCCAAAAGTCCAACAGTGTATTGATGAGATCGGAAGACGCAAATTCGACGTGGTCTATCATCCGGAACTGCTGTGGCTGCAGCGAGATGGCGCTGGGCTGGCACTTGCTACAGATGCCTTCGGGCCACGGGGCATGGCCCGAAGGGCAATCCGCGCGCACCCGGTAGAAGGGTTCGCTGAGCGGGGGCATGTAGGAGCTGCCGGACTCGGGCTTGTTCTTGCCGGCGTTGACCTTGCGGAGGTACGAGTGGAACGACAGGTGCTTGATCTTCTTCTCGGCCAGGTACCCGACATCGTAAGGCTCGAGCGGCATGCAGTAGTCGCACATGCCCTTGGGGCCGTGCCTGCACATCTTCTGGTCCTTCGGCCTTGTGATTTTGCCGTCGAGCTTATCTAACCGGTCGTCGAGCGGCGACTGCTTGATCACCTCCCACGGCCGCTTGATGAGCTTCGCGGCGCCGCCGATGGGCACGCTGGGCATATCGGCAGCGGCGATGGGCTTCCCGCTGAGGCGGGCGGCAGTCGTTGGGACGTCGGCATGTCCGTTCGTCGCGGTCTTCTGCTCCTCGTAATCGATGTACACCTGAGAGCCGTGACTGCGAAAACATGGTTTAGAAGTGCGGACAGGGAAACTCAGTGGCGGGAGAGTGTTCATACGTGAGTCCGACGCGTTCGAAGGTCACACCCTTCAAAGTCTCGAGCTTCCGCGCGGACGTCTTATCCTGCGGCTTCGGCGAGATGGTGACGGTAGAAAGGTCGGTGTTGGGAGGCAGCTTCTCGACAATCTGCGAGGACACAGTGGTGAAATCATCCTTGGCGTCGACGGTGAGGCGGAACTGGCCGTTGCGGCTTTGGAAGCGGAGTATCATGGTGGTGGCGCGCGCGCAGCGGGGTGGCTGCGGAAGCTGTACGGGCGGCGGTCGACTTGGTTTTCTTATCTGCGGCGGCGACGGGGCGGACGGAGACGATCGAGTCTGCGCGTGGGAGTTGTTGGGCGGTCAGAAGTGGGATCTGGGGGTTGCGCGAAGTAGTTGAGGAAGCTCTTGGAAGCAGGCAGGCCCGTCGTGCGGCGGGTGAGCTTCTTGAGCTAGCGACTCGCGTGCTACGTCAAGGCCCCGTCGGCATTTCCCCGGCGCGCCGCGGGTCGACACGTTGCTTCTCACAAGTCACTTTCTCCAAACGAGCTTCGCTGACGCTCTCTTCCGCTGCACAAAGCCGCGTCCTCGCGACCTGCCGTCTGCCGCTCATTCTGCCCACGCCCCCGCCTGCAATGCACCTGTGAGACTGCGCGATCCCGCCTACAGCTGCCTCGACCATCCCCCAGGACCCGTTCGACGCCAATTACCACCCAAGTTCCACCTACGTCAAGCAGAGCAAACACCGCGTCCAACCACAACCCTAGCCGCCCACCATGGTCGACTGGATCTCGCTGGCGGTGCCCTTCGCCTACCTGGGCCTGCTGATCGGCTCCATGGCCACCTTCTCGCACCTGTACCGCGCCCGCAAGGCCTCGCGCGCCTCGTCGCTGGCGCCCTGGTTCGGCGCCCACACCACCCGCAACATCTACCTCTCGCTGCTGCACATCGAGCAGCCCAAGGTCCCGGACTCGGTCCTCAAGGCCGCCCTCCTGCGCCGCGCCGTCGAGGACATCCACCGCATCGTCGAGATCCGCAACGCCAAGGCGGCCCTGCAGCAGTTGCTGCAGCGCGGCAGCGTCGGCGACGACCTGTGGCAGCGCTTCCAGCGCGCCGAAAAGGAGATCGAGGCCGAGCTGCGCGACGTCGTGCAAGAAGTGCGTTTTCATTTCCTCCCCTCCCAATCTTTTCTGAAAACTGCGTTTGCCTCTCCCCCCATCTGGCTAACATCCACTCCCCGCTGCAGGCCAACGCCTTCGCACCCGGCTGGGGCCAGACCATCTTCCAGAACGCCTCCGAAGTCGCGCAGAACCAGATCCTCAAGGCCCGCGTCAACGAGCTGCAGGCCCAGACGGCCAACGAGAAGGCCTGGTGGGAGAAGAAGCGCGGCGCCATCCGCTCCGAGTTCATGAAGGAGCTGGGCGCCGACGAGGGCGCCGCCGGCGTCCAGACCAAGAGCAGCGACGACGACACCGTGCTCGTCGACAACGCCTCCACCGCTTCCATGTCCAGACCGAGCACCGCCGGCTCCATGGTCTCGGGCACGAGCTCCAAGAGGAAGGGCAAGGGCAGGAAATAAGGCGGTTCCCGTTTTTTCGTCCGTGTCGGGCGAAGTCTTCGAGAGGGATTGTAGTAGCATTGCAGGCGCGAGGCGTTCGGTGGGCTTCGCATTCGCGATATCAGGCATGTCAGACATGTCACGTTATTTAGGCAGTATTCATAGTGGTGCATTGCATCATTTATTGGAGAAAAGGGAAAAAAGCTGTAGTTCTGTACCAACCAAGGAATTTCGCAAGACGCCAACCCATACAACCAGTGTTTGTACATGGAATTTGATCCACATAATGACCTCTCCGCAGCAGCATTCTCTAAGGCTCTGCCTTCCACATGACCATGGACGGACGATTGAAGCGTCCATCCTCACCAGAAATACCGATCAAGTTGATCGTTCGTGTCCGGTGGAACGCTCCAACTCCCCATACAACCCCACGGACAGGGATGTCCATCTTCTTCGTGATACCGTATCGTGCTCTCCAAAGTTGAGCAGTAGGTGTTTCGGCGTTTCTTAGCGTCTCGCCGAAGGGCCGGAGACACCGGCGCCAATGACGCTGGGGAGCTCCTCATTGCCCATGGTGTAGAGCAAGCCGATGCCGTAGCTGAGCATGAACGCCATGGCGACGGCGAAGCCGGTGAACAGCCAGAAGGGCATGACGACGTCCTTCTTCTGGCAAGCGGGGCCGCCGTAGTAGGTCGTCTTCTTGCTGCCGTCCTTGTTGGTGCGGACCTGGGCCTCGCAGCGGCACGTGTAGCAGGCCTTGTTGTTGTCCGTGTCCATGTACTTCTTGATGCACTGGCCGCGGCCGCTGCAGGCCTTGGTCGACGACTCGCACGAGTCCTTGGACGGGAAGCAGGCGGGCAGGATGCCCCTGACGGTGGCGTTGTTGGGGCTCGTGGGCGCCTTCTTCGGGACCGTCGTCTTGTTGACGCGCTCGTAGAAGTCGCTTTCTTGGGCCTCGGAGAGGATGGCCTCGGGACGCTTGCGATCGGCCGTGGCGGAGCGCTTGGGCACATCGTACTGGCCCCAGGTGCTCGGCGAGCGCTTGAGGAAGTTGCTGGAGGAAGGCGGCATCATGGCGACGGTGAGGGCCCACCTCCCGGAGACCAGTTTGACCAGCTCGCGAATGGTCGACGAATAGTCGTTCTCATCCTCGTTGCGGATGTGGAGGATGAGGACATCACCGAAGAGCCTGGGCTCGATATCCTCAGGAATCTTGGCCAGAACGTCCTTGATTGGCTCGGGAAGGGGGTCCACGCTGCGGTCCATGGGAGACAAGGAAAGACGCTCGGCCTGGAGCGTGAAGTCCTCAAGCAAACGAGAGGTGGCATCGACGCTGGGAATTTCAGAGAGAAAGAAGGACGTGGAATCCAGAACTAAACCAACATCAGGTCAGCAGTGGCCGATGGTTTCCAAATGGATGCAACCCACCTGCGGTGTCCTTTACGCCCTCGACGACGACCATGAACTGCTTGGGCTCAAGCTCGTCGTCATCAAGCAGCTGGTGTCGCGGGCTGCCAAAGTCGTTGATGTGCTGGATGGTGTCGTCGTCGGCATGCTTGAGGCTGTGGTACTGCGAGAGACCCAACCTCTGGGCGAACACCAGGCGGGCGGTGTCGGGGCTCAGAGTGGGAGTCGATTGGGTGTTGGGGCGTGTGGGCGTGCCGAAGTCGCGGACGAAGATGCGGGGCTGGGGAGCTGCTGCAGCGGCCAGGCCGAGCAGAGAGGGGACGACGAAGCTGGCGGACAGCCTCATGATGGGTGGTTGGCGGATGAGGAGATGGATGCGGGATTTGGAGCAGCAGCGAGCTGGGCCGCGCGATGATGCTGGCTGCTGCTGCCGTTGCAGCTGGGATGGAACGGCGAAACAAGGCGCCGACGCCGGGTTGGGCCCTTGCGGGAGCTCGTTCAGCGCGGGCCATGTCCATCATCCGCCCGGCATCTTGTGAACGCCTCGCCGCCGCCAGAACTATCCATCCCCGACGCAGACACTTAGCCCGTCCACCGCACCACGCCCCGGCACCGAGCCCGTCGCTGCTGCAGACGCCGCCATACTTCGCCATCCATCCGCATCGCGCGTCCTTTTCCGCGCGCCTCGTTCATGTCCGCCGCGACACGGCCCTCCGAGTCATTCCTTTCCCATGTTTAAGCCATCTGCTGCCGTACGACCGCTTCGCGCATTCCGCCACGTCGCTCCCGTCGTCCATCGGCAACCGCTCGCGCGCTATGCATCGACCCTAAACGTGCCGCCTGTGCGCATCAAGCGCCGTTTCTTCACCTGGAAGTACGCCGCCCAGCTGAATGGCCTCTCCATTCGCTAGAAGGTTGCTGACACATGTTATCTCAGGCGCTTGCTAGCCGGAACCATTTACACGGGCGCCGCTTATACCTGGGCATTGTTCGTCCTAACGCCGGTATTCGATCTTCTGGACGAACAAGAGGGAGAAGAGGGCGACGAGGCGGAGGAGGACTGGGATGAAGAATGGGACGACGATGCCATGTTCATTCCCCTAGGATGGACGAAGCCGGTGCCGCGCACGTTCTACAGAGGCTCCGATCCTGAGTGGCAGGAGTTCAGAAAAGTCGCGGTCGACCAGAAACGGCACGAGCGGATACGCCGTATGTGGACCGCATCTGATGGCTGGTGCATGTTACTGACGTGTCGCAGATAAGCTCGTGAGCTTGGTGCGCAATCACATCGCTCACCATCCGGCTGCGAATCGTCTTGGCCATGTGGACGTTACCAAGGGTCGGTATTGGCTCGATATCGTCTTCCCGGACGGCCCTCCCCAGGAATACGAACGTGCAGGGTAAGTCATCCCAGGGACGTGGATCCGCTCAGATAACCGTATTGCTGGGCCAATGTTGGCACTATCGAGGACCCTCGCTGGATGTCAAACATCCATCAAAACGAGCGAACGGTCGTTGCCCAGACGTTTCAAATGTCAAACCTAACACGAGGTCCTGCTGTCGGATTTACTTTGAGGTTGCTTCATGCGAGTTTGGCTGCTGACCCTCTGCAGGATCGAGATCGCCGACGACTACATTGCCTGGACGAGACGCCCTGTGGATCAAATCAACTACCAGAGACTGAAGCGGGCGCTCTGGCCCGTAGCTGTCGCTTCTGGAGCATTGGCCAGCACGCAGTACCTATGGCACGTGCAGATGAACAAGCTTCGACAATGGATTGGCCTGAGCCCAAAGGTCGACCCCGCCGTCGACGTCCTAGCACGGCACCTGGAGGCCATGCAGCGGGCGAAACAAGAAGGTTCTAACCGCCCGTTCGCACCCCCGAACACGTCCGAACGGACCGTGGCTAGTGCTAACCCGAACGCGAATGCCAACGCAGCGGGCAAGACGGCGGCGGCGGAAAAGCACACCAACCTTCCGGAGTTCGAGCCCATTCCCCCTCAATCAATTGCCTTGTCGATATTCTCGTCCACACTGCTGAAGAACTGGAAACGCCCGCAGCTTGAGCCCCCGCGTGGTACGATTCTGGTGACGGGCTTGATTGAGATTCGCGGTGACAAGGCCAGGACGGTGCTGGACGTGACGGGTGCATATGACCCACTCATTGACAAGTATGTCGCTTTGAGAGTCGGCAGCAGGCTCATACAAGACAAGCAGCAGAGACCCAGGGGAGGTCGTTGAAAAAGAGGATGAAGGATGATATGCTGGGAGGACTGAGTGTTTTGCATTGCTACGGCGTGATATCCACAGGAAAGCAGGGCGTGGCGCTTGGACATGGACCGAGTGCATTTTAGCAGGGCGTTGGAGTTTGATTTATGACGGGGAGACTGGCGCACTCAAGCGGACTTCACTGGCCCCGAAGTGACCCTCTTTTCTTGCTCTCTCTCGGTTAATCATAGGGTCAGCTGCTACGTCTGTATTCAATAGCGAATTAGTATTAGACATGACGCTCTAGTGAAGCTCTCAGACTTGGCCCGATTGGATTGAAGATTACATGCTTGACCATGTAGCGATAAAGGAGGTGATCATTCGTTTTCGATAACATGGTCGATTCTCAGAAACTCATCAGTCTGTCTGCTGAACTCTTCCCAGTTCTGGTATGCCCCTTACAAGTACCTAACGCCGGTCCCTCCCTTTTTTTTGCCCGCTCTGAACATGCTGTCTTCCGTCCCACCGTCCGCTCAATCGTTCATCTCACCATTTTCAACCGTCAGCCAGGATGCCCGCAATCCTCAAGCAAAGATCCAGAATCTCCAGGTGCTCGTCCGCGCCATCGACCAATCTCTTGTCCGTCTCAGAGAAGACAAGCGTGATCTTGTTCTTCTTGAGGTCCTCGACCTTCTCGTCGAACAGCACCATCTCATACAGTTGCGCGACCAGCTGCGTCGCGCTCCAGCCGTCGGCCACCATGTCCTCGACCGCCTGCGCCACATCGGCGTAGACCTTGCCCTTGGCGCGCGGCTGCATGGCGTCGTACAGCCGCTCCATGGTCGGACCGGGTATCACGCCCGCAATCTCCTCAATGACAGGCACCGACACGGGAGTCTTGGTCTTCTCGCCAGCGCCGCCGCCGCTCTTCTCATCCACATCCATCTCATCGCCGTCATCATCATCATCATCATCATCATCCTCGACGACCCTCGCCGCCGCCCCCCTCTTCCTCCCCCCCTGCTGCTGCGCGCCCCCCTCCACCGCCTTGACCGCCCCCACCAACCTCGCCGCACTCTGCAAAAACGTAATCGCCTTTCGCAAATCGCCCTCGCTCACCCGCACCAGCGCCTCCGTCGCGCCCTCCCCCAGCACCACCCCCTCACACGCCGCAATCTCCCCCAACCGCGCCGTCGCACTGCCGGCATCCAAGCTCTTGAACCTGAACTTGCTGCACCGGCTCGCGAGCGGGTCGATGATGCGCGTGACGTAGTTGCACACGAGACAGAAGCGCGTGATGCGCGAATACGTCTCCATGGTGCGGCGCAGCGCGCTCTGCGCGTCCTGCGTCATGCTGTCCGCCTCGTCGAGGATGACGATCTTGAACGGCGGGCACGGGTGCCGCTGCCGGTACGCCGTGCTCGCCGGCGGCGCGTTCGACAGCTGCTGCCGCGCGAAGTTTTTGACTTTTTCCCGCACGATGGCGATGCCGCGCTCGTCGGACGCGTTGAGCTCCAGCACCCGCGTCTTGATCAGGTCGGGCCCGTAGAGCTGCTTGGCGAGGGCGAGGATGGTCGAGGTTTTGCCGGTGCCGGGGGGCCCGTAGAAGAGCATGTGTGGGAGGTTGGAGGATTGGAGCGTGCGGGAGAGGACGGTGACGGTGTGGTCTTGGCCGTTGACGTCGGAGAGGGATTTGGGGCGGCTGTGGGAGAGGGGTGGGGTGGTTAGTGGATGGTCTTTCCTTTTTTTGGTTTTTTTTTTTTTTTTTGGGGGGGGGGGGGGG